AGAAAAGGAAGGGAGTCCCCTGGAAGAAGCCGGTGCGTGGGGCCAGTTCAATTCTCCAGAACGCTGCGGTTGGCCTGGCGGGGGGCTGTCTCGCGAGCCCTTCACACCCCATGGGAGGGCCACCGTTGAAGATCGCTTGTCGTGCCGGCCGACCCATGGTTTGTGCTCAATGCGCGGCTGGAAAGGAACGATAGTGGTTGCGCTTACGCGTGCGAATCTTGCGACGTCCTCGGTTGATCAAATCCTGCGGAGCCGTCACCCTTGTGTTGGGTGGATGGGTGCTCACCATCCTTCTTTGGATGGGAACTACCTACCCTCTTCCTTGCCCCTGGCCAGGTGGTTTGGTAGAGCAGTGGGACATCCCATCAAAGGTTGCCGGTTCGATCCTCGGTCGGCCATCCTCTTCACCTTCCGCACTAAAACAAGGCAGCGCAGGCCTTGATTGGGCTTGCCACGCAGCTTTCCCAAATGGCTCTCAGATACTTGCTTTCTGTCCCAGAGCCATCATTGGCAGGGTTGTCCGCCACATGACACTGCGATTCTCTGTGCCGCGAACCTCGCAGGGAAAGCCTTGGCAGAGCCCCTTCCCGACGGGGTCCAGAGGCGTCTTCGTGACATGCGATGGGGGGATGGAAAAGGCGGCGGGACAGGAGGCCCTGGACATCTTCAACAGGGTGAGGAGGGTCGCCAGACGCTTGCTGTGCGCGCTGGAAACGCTGCTGTGGAACTTTTGGCCCTCAATGTGTGCACCGCAAATTTTTTGCTTGGGACATGGCCACACTTTGCCGCTGCACAAACTCTCTTGGTTGCCCTTGTTCTTATCCACCATGCACTTTCCTCTCAGGGGAAAAGGCAGTTTTGAGCTGAACACATGAAGTTGGTCTACAATGGCTGGAGTATGAGGGCTAAACAAGAATAGAGAAGTGCATGCACACCAGGTGTACACAATCTGTTGTGGTGCCTGCAAATCCGCACCCACAAGTGGAAATAAAGGCTTACCGACGTAGTAGACGCACATTAACATCCCTATCAACTCGGGATGCCCAGTGTGCTTCCCGAGCTCTCTGCAAGGGTTGATGTGCTTCTGTTAGGATGAGAATGCGCGATTTGTGGGGAACAACATGTGTTTGTTGTCATCAAATGCTAGACAAACCCCAAATTGCTAACAAGGGACCAGCCATTATGGGACATCGCCAAACTTGTGCCAAATCAATGCCAATCCAAGGTGTTGTCATGCTCTGATGAATGTGATGATTTTTGAATGCAAACAACACTGGTTCATGCAAAAATGTGCCGCAAGGCAGTGACCAACACACTGCACACACTTTTAAAATCGGTCGCCCATGCACTTCCTTGTTCAGTGCAAGCTTGTTTAGGTCATCAATCATGGCATCCTGTTTTCTTTCCTTCTGCACAGTTTTATGAAACGCTTGTCCCTGCCCCACAAGGAGAGGGGATGGATGCTGCTCGGACAGAGGACTTCAGCAGTGCTCTTGCAGCTGAGCTGAAATCTTTGAAGTCTGGAGAGAAACAGCAGTTTCAAGTCTGGAACACTGGAATACCTGGCAGTGTGTATATAAAATTCGACAGTGACTATGGTAAGCCTGGGCATGATCAATTGCGGCTCATTTATTGTTGATTTGAGGCATGGATGACAGTCAACAGCTGGCAGCAAGGCAATGTCAACATTTCATGATAGCGCCTTGAAGACGATAAGAAATGGAAGACATTGAATGAAAGAGCTGCAACGGGGGACCAACCATTGATATGTGTGTTTAAGGGAAGAATGTGAAGGAAGAGGAATAGAAAAGTAAGGACTCCTTTTGGCAGACCTTAATGTCTGCATCCGATTGGACAAACGCAATGGAAGGGAGGGAACACATTATGAAGCTCATTCCTGCATGTGCATTTCCTGGAAGCTGTAACTCGGGTTCATGATGCTGTTGTCCATTGTAGACCCAATCTGTTGTTCTCTCTCCTGCCATCACCCACCCTGTTCAATAGGAAAACCGACCGGGCGATGTTTGACTGTGAAGCAGCTTCTTGCGTTTTTCAATCGTGCACATTGTAGCATGTTAGTATACATCCAGCAATCTATTTTGTGCTCTGTGTACTTCTTCTTCTTCATTTGGTGCAATACTAATTTTCTTTGTTTCAAGTTTGTGGTTTTGGTGGAGGTCAACTTGCTAACAGCTGCCAGTTCTTTCATGTTAGCTGGCAGGTTGCTGGCAGTGTTGGAACTGCCTCAGCAGCAGTTTCAAATTGCTCTGCCTGTTGGTCATATAAATTCTTGTTCGTATCCTCTATGCGAGTGTGACAAAGCCCTGCTTATCCTGCTATTTGGCAATGACTGGCGTTGGACTTGTACATAACTTTTGTTCCCAATGTCCACTGACCAGTGAACAGCCATGAATACTGGCTGTTGGCAGAACTGCCAACCAAATTGCTGCACAGCTGAGAATGTGAATGGCGTCTGTGAAATTGGTAGCTAAAATGAATATCACAGTGCTCACCCAGGAATCAGCATTGAAATATTGAATCAGGTGGTCCACAGTGGGCTGGGATTGCGCTTGAGGCCATGAGTGTCACACGTGCTAGAGAGGCAATGGTGCCTGCTGTTCGTCCAATAGGCGCCTTCCTGGACACAAAATTCCTTGGCACCATCTGATTTTGAGCTGTGGTTTCAGACGGCCCCGGGCCAGTGGCACTAGTGAAGGCCATTTGCAAGAATGCTCTGGACACTGGAGCAAGTGGAATGAGGCGCTGTGTGCGACTGTTCCCTGTGGAGCGGTGTTGCGCAGCTGATATCAAGAAGATAAAGACAATGGCCGCAGAGATGGTGGCAGATGTATTCAAAACTGGTGGGGATTTGTTTTTGGGTCGTGTTCTTTGACAACAGGCCTTCTTCATTTTGGTTTTCCTTTTCTTTTGTTTTGGAAGGGGGGTTTGTTACTGTTCATTGAAGCAAACTTCGTTGCAAGATGTCAAGGCTGTTTGGCAAAACTTCGTGCAGCAAGGGCCCCAGGACAAACAAGGCAGATGTGCAAAAAAGATCACAAGATGATGAAAGTTGCGTTTGTGGACTTGTAGCCTTGAGGTTGAACACATGGCAGCAATATATCTGCATCCATCAGGAGCAAATCTTGAACATGCGTTGTTTGGAAAGACAGTCCAAAGGGTTGTCCTGCGGTGGCAGGCCTATTCCAAACACTGTTGTTCTGCCCAAGCAACACTGCTGTGCATCCCCAAGCTTGATTGTGCCTTGCATTTGCAACAAACCGTCGACTGTGAGCATATGCATAGAGCAATGAAGCGGTGAAACTGCAGTGGCAACGGTTGCACAAGCACATTGTCTGACAGGACACTTACATCGACCCTGTTCGTGGCGATTTCAGTTGTGGTTGACCTGCTGGAGAATAAATTCCAATAGCTGATTGTGTACCCGTGCCTGGATAAATCAGAATGGGCTGTTCTTGATGGAATGATCCGTTACTGCAGAATGCAGAACAACACACTGGCCATGGCAAGTCCTTCTACTGAACTCGAGTCACAGGCAGCGCCTGATGTAATAGTGGAAAGAAGTCTGGTCGTCTTTTGTGGAAAGTTTGAGTGTTTGTTCCCAGGCGCAGATGTGTGCCCAATACAGTTCGCAGTGGATGTCGATCGCCGTTGCAACAGTGACAATGTGCAGCGCTTGGAAGTGATCAACGCCTTTGTGGACCACATCGCCACCCCACCTCATTTGGTCAACTTGTCGGCCCCAGACTACACCATCGTCGTACAGGTAACCGCACGGTGATTGGATCACGATGGAGCTTGGAAAAAAAAAAAAAAAAAACATTGTGCAGGGGCTCTGAACTGGATTGTCAAAGTATGCGCATCGAACCTGGGCAGACAGTGCAGGGATCATTTTCACATATGCAAGCAGGCCCATTGTCAAATGCTAGCCGTCCACTGCAAGTGCACTGCGAGGAACCAATGGTAACAGTCTTATTGCCGTGAAGGCACAAAGGGCATGTGAGTCCGCTTTGAGGAACGGGTTGTCAGCATTTACACAGGGGAGAGTGTGCAGAATGTGGAATGGACACTAAAACTTTGTTGAAGGTTTTTGGGATTATTGTCTTTTGACTTCAAAGTTCCTTTGTGCAGAGCACATCAAGAGTGCCTCTCAGCACTGCACTGTCACTGTTCAGTACATGGTATCAGAAAGTGGCATGAGACACACATGCTCCGCTTGCATTGCGCCCTGTTTGTGGCAGTTGCTAAACCTGTGATTGTCATTCAAACACTTGAACTGTGCTCTGAGGCATGCAGAGGTGAATGTGCACAGGTGGTCCGAAATGCCTGTGGTGCTTCCATCGTCGAGGGCTACCACGAGTTGTGCAAATGCAACGTGCGGCAATGCAGCGCAAAGGGCCGAGGGGAGGACCCAGGGAAGGAAGCCAGTGGGGCTGTGGTGGGAACAAAGAGGAAAGCACAGGATGGAGATGGTCGAGAGGGCACTGAAAAGAGAAGGTCCTCGGGGGGCAAGGAAGGTACACGCCAACCATCGATGACATTGGATGGGGACCAGTGCACAGCTGGGGAGGGTGCAGAAAAGGAAGGAGTTGAGGAATGCAAATATGGGGCTGGCAGGGATGTTCAAGGGCAGGGCGTTGAGGAAGGAGAGGAATGTGGGGCAGGCTTGGGAGGGAGTAGCACAGTGTCGGCATAGTTGAATGATCTGTTTTTATGGGTGCATTTACGCTTGGTAGCTGGTAGTGCGATTCCATCGTGGGTGGAGCAGCTGCGCTGCCGTAATGACACATGGAGAATTGGTTCTGTGACTTGGGGGTTGTGCCGCATCGTATGCAAAGAGAACAAAGCATGGAGACCAAAAAAGGAATTCACTGGGTTGGCATGCACAGTGGTTGCAAACTATTGAGGTGCTGCTCGTCTGTAAGGTGGCTGCGAATTCAACTGAAGCTGCGGATTTTTGCTAGCATATGCAAAAACCGTCTGAAGGAATGTGTGCCAGAACCAATATTTTCAGTGTCTGCGTGCCCAAATGTTGCAAGTCGCTTTCCTTGAGCTTTTGGGGTGCTTTTGCCCATGCCCTGATCTTTAGTACTCTCGGATTGATGGATTTATCTGACGGACCAGTGTGCCAGATGAATATGGCGAAATGAGAATTCTGCTCAAGCCACCCTGAGGCGTGGCAGGCGCCATGAATTGTCCAGTCGATTTAGCAGCCTTCCAAATGCTCAGTTAGACACCGCCCTCGCAAGGAATGACCACCCTGCATATGCTTGTATTGAAAAGGGCCCTCTACCCAGTCCGTGCCCCCTAGTAAGGTTATTGTACGCGCTTGAAAAGCACTGCAATAAAGCCGTGCTCAACAACCCTGTCTTGCCTTGCAGCTCTTGGTTGTGCACTCACCGACTTTCAATTACGTCACTGATGGGACAGTAGGGCCGTCTCACGCAGGCAAACTCCCAACTGAATTTGAAGTTGAGTCAAAAGCAGCGCAGGCTCTAAGCTCCACACACGTCCATGAGTGCGGTACGTTTCTGCTCGGTAAAGTACAGTGAATGTACGACACCTTCCCAGCCCCATCCACCCTCGACAGCCAAGTGCAAAACCGATGGAGCGCGCTGCTCGTGTCTTCCGGCTGGCTGCCACTGTGGCCCACGGCAACTCTGGGCAGCCGGTTTTCTGCCCTGTTCCCTATTCGCGAAGGTTGCCCTTGACATTCAACACCACGGGCGTGCAGGGAACGGGCGGAGGTGCTTGGCACAGGCACCAGATTCACCTGTTCGTAGACTCGATAGCTTGCCGCGCATCACTCGTGAGGTCGGCTGACGCGGCATCGTTCCTGCCAGATCGTAGGAGGCTCGACCCAGGTGATCCATTGATCTGTGGGCTCATTGGATGCCCGCCTTCAGTGCGACAAGGGGCCAGCCGTTGTGTGCGAGGCGGAAAGCAGTTTCCGTTGTTGCACCTCCTTTTTCTGCAGCAACTGTGGTACTGGCTCGTTGCGTGTGTCCTATCCGCTTCCGCTGCGCTGCCGCCTTGAAATCATTCCTTTGCACGATATCGATGATCACGGCGGTCAATGTCCACCCAGCCGGCCGCCTTTGAGGCTCGGCTTTGCACCTGCGCTCTACCAGTTTCCCGCGACTTGGGGGTCATGGTACCAAAACAGCCTCTTTGCTCCAAAGGGTTGACTGCGCAGATGTGCAGGTTCCAATTAACGGACTGGCGCCGTAATCTTTGGTGGTTGTCGTGGGAAGAGCTTTGCACGCCTGCAGTGTAAATTTGACGCGATTATGGTCGGGGTTGTGAAATGTGGCCGAAGAATCACCGAAGAATGCAGTCAACGCAGAACCGCTTGTGTCCAGATTCATCGCTGCCATGGATCTGGCTTGTGTCCTGTCGGTGATGCCCAGCTGGTTGATCAGAATCTGCGGGGATGCGCACTGCCGCCTCGAACAGACAGAGCACACAGATGAGGAGTGGAAGGTGTGGTGATTTTCATTCTTCACGAGGGTTGATCCCTTGAGCCAAAACAGATGACGTTGCCCCTATCCATCGTTACGAGATTGTCCAGGGATGTTTGTGTGTTTTTCCCAATTTGGGATATTGTGTGCTGCAGCCTCTGACCTGCTTGCAGCAGAACCCTATGCTGGAAAATCGGATTGTGGCATTGTTGTTCCTTTGGCGCTGTACTGTCAGTTTGGCCTGACTTTGCAGCCCTGTCAATGAGCCATGCAGATATGGTTTCTTACAACAGGTTTGTGCACTTGTTCAGCCACCTCACAACTCGACAGATTGCAAGTGCGCTGTGGTCAGTTGACCCCTGACTCTTCCCGAAAGGTTGCATTTCATGGTCAATATTGTTCAATGTGCCCTTTCACTTGCTGACATGCTGCTGAAACGTTGCGTCAGGTTGAGCATGCTGTAGTGGATTGGGGCAGTCTTCCATTTGTGGTATTGGATGTGGTGAAATGTGGGCTGGAAGTGGAGCAGGAGTTGCGCTGGTCCATGATCAGGACAGCCCGTCTTGTGAATCGGCACTGGGCACGGTGGGCAGCAGAGTCAGTGGCATCCGTCTGGCTTGGAAAACATTTAGGGGTCCAGCAGGTGGCCACCAAGTTCCCCTGTGTGCGGAGACTGGATTTCACACTGTGCGATGTCCGTGAAGTGGACATGCTCACCGCGTTGACCAGCCTGCGCTGCCTGGAGAGCATCCACATGGGAGGTTGCCATGTCAGGCATAGCACCTTGATTGATTTGGCACAGCTGAAAGCCCTCACATCCCTGAACCTGAAGGGCTGTGGGCTTACTGATGCAGCATTGAAGCCTGTGCGGCATGTGGCACTGCTGAAGTGTCTTCATTTGGGTTTCTGTGACATTGGTGCTGGAGGGTTGCAGCATGTTGCGCACCTCCCTGCACTCGCTGAACTGAGTCTAGACAGGTGCAAGCTGATCGCAGATGATGCGTTGGCGTCCGTGGGCGAGATGACTGTCCTCACAAATCTGAATTTAGAGCACTGCCATCAAATCACAGATAATGGGCTGGAGCATTTGCGGCATCTGACTGCCCTTCGAAACCTAAATCTTTCAGAGTGCAGGAATGTCACCAACAAGGGTTTGGAGGCTGTGGGAGAACTGGGCTGTCTGATCCATCTTGATTTGACTGGCTGCTTTCAGATCACCAACGCAGGGCTGGCAGGTGTAGCGAAGCTGGGTGCACTCACCAGCCTTAGTTTATCTGACCTCAATCTCCTCACAAACGCAGGCCTGGGACACTTGGGAAAGCTGGAAAACCTGGAAATCTTGAAGTTGGATGAGTGTATGCATATATCAGATGTGCAGCTCCTGTGTGAGAGCGGGAGGCTGACCTCTCTCAAATATTTGAGCCTGGCTCGTTGCGGCATACGGGACGATACCTTGGAGTGCTTCAAGTGCTTCGTGGCGTTGAAGAAGCTGAAACTGGCGGGGTGCCCAGTGAGTCATCCGGCTTGGCAACGCTTGAGCCAACACTTGTCCGTGTTTTGAAGTTGACATGTGCCAAGACGGAATGATTCGATGCCTTGACCGATAGCAGCACCCAGCCAAGTCGCCGATGCCCACGTCCCCAATTTTGCGTTCAAGTTCGACGTTGTTGTCCTCTGCTGTCCCACCTTGGTAGACATCATGGACCTGCCACATTCTTGTGTGGTTTTGGACTTGCGCCCTCTGCCCACAGTCCCAACCTGGTCACATGATTTCCCTGAACGGTTAGCCACGCCCCTAGCACTGGTCGCCTTGTGGCTGAAGAGGAGTTGCGCACGTTAAGTGCTTTGCTGCTAGTAGCAATACCTTTGTTTGTATCCTTGTGGCCATTAATGGACATCCAGCCGTAAATGGGCATTGGGGGAGCCGCAGTAATAACGCTTTGTCGACAGCACAGTCTGCCCCAGATGCCCACGCACTGCACAGTGTACCGTTGTGCATTGCGAATTTATTGCCGATTGCGCTCCCACCGTTGGCAACGGTGGCGAGGTTCCCTTGCGCTGAATGTGCTCCGTCCACGGAGGCAACCATGTGGGTTAAGGAAAGAGGTCTGGGCTGGGTGCGTTTGCCCAAGACTCAAATCATGATTGACAAAAGGGAGAACTGTGCTTGGCGGTTCCTTGCCGGGGACTCCCCAAAGCAACAGACAAATTAAGGGAAAGACACTATTTTGAATTTGTACGCTCAGCGTCAATCTGACGTTAAGCTCAGACACCCCCCACCCCCCACGCCACCCACCACTTCCCACACCCACCCATCCCTCCTCAGCGTCGATCCTTATTTCGATGCCAGGATGCCCCAGCAACATTGCATAACGATGCCATACAACTTCAAATAATTTTGCAGGGGAAAACACAGCCAAATTGTGGCGATTGCAGTAATTTGGAAAAGGTGGTGCGAAAAGCCATGATAGGCGTTGGGAGCAACCCCAAAACCTGAAAATTGATCCATTCTAGGGACTTCCTGGAAGATTGAAGTTTGAGGAAGGTTTTACAACAAGCCATGAGCTATCTGCCGCTGATCAGTGACGTTTTGGTGCCGCACCTCGTTCTGATTTAATGCAATTACACAACCTCCCAGCAACAATGGCTGGAAGCCCCAACCCCCACCCCACCCACCCCACACACACACCCTAACGTCAATTTGATGCTAAGCGTACATAATATTGCCTTCCCTAAAGTTGAGAGCATGCGCTCTGGCACATGTCACATTGAGCGCAAGATTCTGTTGTAGATTCTGCCACTCGCGCAGCGTCACAGTGCATGCTCTGGCATGAGAATGCACAACATGACACGTTTGATGCTTGTCTATACATTTGTCCTTGGCGAGGCGCTGATGGCATGGTGCTGAAAGTTTGTAGCTGCAGTTACAAATGCTAGCTTCTCACATGTTTCACAGTCGGCTTGGGGTACTGTCATTGGCTTCCTGCTCCCCATGCCCACGGTCGTTCGTTGCATGCAGGGGACAGGCCCACACAAACGCAATGTCACAACTGCCAATGCTAATTATTCAGACTCGCGTTTGGAGACAAACCAGAGGGGCTGGATGGCGCAAGGGGCTGACGGGCAGACACGAGTCCAAAACGGTTTTCTGTCCTTCATCCATTCACTTCATCTGCTCACCATTTTCCTTCTACATCTTTCGCAGGCTCATTTGTGGCCACGCAACCCTGCCGTCATCGCCACCAGTTGGGAGGAGACTAAAAATAACGCTTGCCGCCGTGGGAAGCTCGCCCTGGCGTGATTCTGCGTGTCAACGACCAAAACAAGTAATACTCACCATGTTTTTGGTGAAATTCTCCGGTGGAGGCAGTTCTGCACACAAACAACTCGAACAAAGGCCATCTGGCCAGCGCCTTACACCCCGACTGCCAACCGAAGCCGCCACGCCACCACTCACTGACGCACTCTCACTGCCTCCTTTTCTTTCCCTTCCCACTTCCCCCTAGCTTCTTCCTCTTGGCCCCCTTCTTGCGCTCGCCGCCGTGCGCCCCCGCCTCTTTTGCAGACCCCGCACTTGCCTTGACGCTCTTCTTGATGCTCACCAGCTTGCCCGCTTTCAGGCCATCCTTGCTCAGCGCGTCGCCGAACTCCTCGTCGCCTCCCTCTATTGCGAACTCACGGAGGGCCTCCGGTTGTAGCTGTGCACGGATGGCCCCCTCCACACACGTGACAGAGTGCAGTCAGCAGTGCGCTGGGCAAGAGAGAATCCTGGTCCGCTGTGACACGATCAGAAAGCTGAGGAGTGGCGAGCACTATAGTCCTGACGTTTTGTCTATGTTTTCATTTTCTGTCCTTTTTGGGCAGCGTGCACCCACAAACATTGCAGCGTGTGTCACGGGAAGAACGAGGGCATGATCACACCGGCGTTCGAAACGAGACAATGAAACAAGGACCAAAGGTGGGCATCAGATCCTTCAGAATCTGTGGGTGCGAGCGACTGTTTCAGTTCAACAAGCGCATGCCGCATCGTCAACCAAGCCGCCACAATTCCCATTGATCGCAAAAATTTGACACTTAGCAAATCCTAAAACGGGGCTGGGGACCTGGCCCTTTTCTTAAGGGAATCAAAAGTGGCGGCATTGACGCCGATTCCAAAAGATTGGCACCGCCCTCCCCCAGACATCGTGCCTAACTGATAGTCTTGCATTCCGTACTGATGTTTCTCAAAACCCGTTTTGGACCAACGTGGAGACAAATCACAATGCGCATATTTGACTCATCAGCGCATCAAAGAGAACAGAGTGGTGTACGAGCATATCGCGGCCCCGGCCTTTGTCAGCCAACACCTTGGACACATTACCTGAATCTGGCGACCTGCCTCTTCCAGCTCCTCCTCGACATCTTTGTCGTGAGGTAAGAGCACGATCTCCTTGGGCTTGGGCAGCTCCCGCCCAACGCCTTCCTCCTTTGCCGCCAGCAGGTACGAGTACAATTTTCGGACCTGCAGGAAAAAGCACGGGAGGCATTTAATGGGTGTCCTTGTTTTCGTTGCGTATGTGGATTATCCATTCCACAGCATTTCCTCACACCATAAAATGAAACTACATATAGATGAAGCAGTCGACAAACAGCCACACCGACTTACACTTGGTGTACCACCTCGACTCCAACCACCCATATCTGATACAACACTGTCCGTCAAACGACATGGCGGGCAAGATACCATCCACGTTGTTCGTTCAGGTCGTTGGGTCACTGTCCCTGCCACAGGTGGAGCTCATCAACTCTTCCCTAGCATGGAACTGAAATTCCTTTCATTGCCCATGCAGCAAGTGAACATGGGCCACAGTATATATTCGCCACAATATCGACACATGAGCATGTCGAACAAAACAATGTGCATACACAGCGCTTAGACCTCAGAAAGCGCCATGCCATTATTCCGTGCCATTACACCTCCAGCAAGGTTTGTTGGTTTCAGCATGGCACCTACCGATTTGCTGAACAGCGCCAGCACTTGATTTGACGGCAGGCCGAGCGACTTCTCCACATCTGTGATGTCCAGCTGTTGGAGGCCCACGCCCATGAGGATGGCCGCCTGCCCATGGGACAGCGTCGCTGGCAGCTTCCCACAGAAGTATGCCCGCGCAAGGGCCGGAACGAGGTCCAGAATCATGTGGTGGTCCACCAAGTTGTTGGAGTACGACTGCTTGCAGAGAAATGCAGAATTAAACCAAAAGGCCTGGATGAGAAGCAGTCCCTGTTGAGGTGGATCCGAGCATGTGGGCACAGTTGGAGATTCACTGCGGTGGCAAGGAGGCACGCATTCTGTGTTGTCGATACTCCATGCAAAGCAAATTGTTAACAGCCACAATGACAGCATTGCCTTGCACCTTCTCATGAGGTTGCGCAAGTCCTGCAGCTCTTCTGTTAGTGCAGGGACAGCATCTGGAATAAGGAATGTGTCCCAATACTTTGGACTCAGAATTGGCTAGAGACAGCCAAGGCTCCATGAGTTCCTTGCTTTTGGACAACTGCGACAAGAAACCATAATGAGTTTCCCTGATACCTGTTTTGTCAGGCCCGACCCACCCACCTACTCCATACACCACCCCCTAATCTCCCCAGGGTGCAAAGCATCTCATCATGAACGTTCTGCAATATAACACAACTAATCTTCTGATGCTATCGCTTGCACTCCCGTCCAAATGGCGAAAGGGCTGAATCTCTTTTGTTGGAACAGGAGCAGCACCTTGTCTGGTAGGCCGCGGTGCATTATTTCGGACTCAATGTACATTCTAGAACACATCAGATGTCACACCTGCAGGCGTTTGAGGTCGTGTGGCAGCAGGCCTCCTCCATCCACTCCTGCCACAGTGATGCCTCCTGTGATACCTTCCTGGGATTCTTGTTCAGAGAACACAAGCTTTGGGGCCAGTATTGATAGTGCCAATGCTGGTTCCATGGTGCGGAAGTTCCGGCCTGAAGATTGCAAATCCATGAATTGTCACTTCAGCAGGTGCCTTGCGATGCCACAGTGCATGGCACAGATGCACTTGCACATTCCTTGTGGACACTGATAGCAAACCTGTGTAGATACTGTTGAATACTTACTGGTATGCCTTTACGTACCTGTATGTACCTTTCTTGGGGTGTGAGATACATATGTGGACTATTCTTCCGCAGGAATTGGACATTATGACAGTGTGCACGCTGCTTCATGCACGTTGCATCTGTCCATTTTGCCAACATAACATGTGCTGATTGAAAAAGCTTGTGGAACCCAGGTTTCAGGTTTTTTTCCTCAAATCTCCTCTGCATGGATCACTATGCAGCACCTCCAGCGACATGCAAGTGAGCCTGTAAGACTGCTCAGGAGTGGCTTCCTAACTGCAACATACGTTTTCTTCTTGCCTTAAGAGTGCCTGACATGGAGGCAAAGAGCAATCAACCCAGCATCCATTGTCATCTCAAGATTTGTTTTCTGCTATCAATCGAATCACATAGCCAGGAACAGATGACAGTACATTCTCCACTATCTGTTGTGATATTATAGGGCTGGCACCTCTACCCACCTTTGCTATGCCTACCGGCTACTGGCTCTCAAACTTTGGGAACCAATCGCCAACAAGAAGCACATCAACAAACCAACCCACTGCAAAGTCCTCAACCCACTGAGATCGCCAACAGAGAGGGCTGTTCAGGCACACAGTCTACCAGCACAGAAGTGCACCTTCTTCAAATATTCAAATTATATAATGTAGCCAGAATTCATGTGCCCATACTGCACCATGTGTGACAAATCGACATAAAAATTCGACTTCGTAAATACACAAAGTCGTGTATTCAGGAATGTGTATACTGTGGAACATCATTATCTACCAGTGTATCATACCTAACAATGCAATGAAACGCTTCCTGAAGTCCACCACAAATGGCTCCAACCAGTTTGTGCCTTCAACGTCTGGTGACTGCAGGGGCTTCAGCACCACGATGGTGTGCTCTCCAGTGACCTCACTGGGCGTCTGCCTCAGGTAGAGGGGCCGGTATCCACACTTCCTCCAAAAATTGAATAGAGGAAGGGTCAGTCCAAAGGACGAACCCAAGTAGTGCAATTTCTCTGGACGCCTGCAGAACAACAAACACAAAGTTTGGCAACCAGTATAGAAGAAAATTACAAAAACAAAGATGAACATGGCAAGATGGTAATCCACTCGTATGGATTGCCATTTCCTGCATGCACATTTCAATGCTTGCAATGTGATCACAAGAAAACGAGCTAGGACGATACTCAGCAATGTCAGTCCTCTTCATGCATGATTCCAAGGGGCTGTGCTCATGAGCAGCCAAGCAGGCTTACACTTGTGATACATTGTGCTCTGCAGCAATGTTCCACACTGGCAAGTCTCGCAGTTGCTGATAGACACAAAACTGAACCAAGATCTATGTTTTTAATCTATATTACTCCATATACTTCCACCGTCCAAGATTAATTGTCGTCCATTTGAATGAGAAATTTCGTAGTGAAAATAGCATCTGAATTAACAAAGAAAGCCAGATTCGGAAAGATTGGGTCTCAAAGCCCTTAGGTTCCAATTTTCAAGAAAAAAAGGCAACCTCACCCCTGTGAGTGGCCTCCGAAAATTGCCCAGGGTCGGTCCAAAAAAGCCCGTTCAGATTCTACGTTCCCACAGAACCCCTCAATTCTGGGCCGCTCCCTTGTCTGCAAGTAGCAATGGTAGTCGTTGCCACTGCAGCGGCGAAGGGGGTAATCCAACACGTGGCGTAGCTGTTGCCAAACCCACTCGACAGTGCTTGAATCCTTCTCGAGGGTGACCATTGTCACAGCAACGAACATGCTGGAAATCTGCGATGTTCTCGATCTCTGATGCGCAGATCTTTACTGAGCGAAAAAGGCCAAGGTCCAAGACCTTGAAGGCTGGGTTGAGTGCGGGTTATCTCTTCAAGGTTGCTTTGCAGCCTTGCTTGGGAACCCTGTCTCGATTGATGCTTGAATCGAGGCATTCATTTGCAAATCAGCCTAGAATCCACAAATGGCCCCTAGCGGCCAATTCTTGCGCCCGGTACATAATCCATCACAACCTAGTGAGTCTTGATTGCTTTAAAAATACGGCTTTACCCTTCTAGCCGTTCTCCTAGCTCCCGGTGCTTTCGTGTGCCAAAACAAGGTCAATTGGCCATTGCCGCCAAATGGCCAATTCGCTACTTGTCTGCGATTGATTGGAGTGATGGCCATCACCTTGTCTTGCACCTTATTGAGGGGATTGGAGACCTTCCGCATGCCCTAGTGGCTGTGATGAAGACCGCAAAGCCCTGGCCCAGAATTCTGGGCCTGGATCATAGCTCCGACCCACTGGATCGAGCTCGAAATTCCAGCCATAGCCACGGCGAGTTTGACGATCAGCGGTTTCAAAACCTGTTGTCTATCGTCTTAGCTCTTTTGCAAGCGCCATGGTGACCTTCCCTCTGGATGGCGTGGTTAGTATTGCATGCGCAGCTTTGTTTCGCTGCCGCAAAGGTGTGCTCCTCAAAACAGCGGAAAACAGCCACTTTTGCCGCCACGTTGAAAACCGGTCGTTTTCTGGCCAGAGGACCCTTGCTACAAAGTACTGCCTAATCCTCAATATTTAATGGATTGAACTGAAATTTCGATGGTATACTCCAACATCACAAGCACAAGTTTGGGTAAATTTCTAGTTGGTGGTTGGATGTTGGTAGCATGGAGAACGCCCCAAATTCCGGACCACAATTAATTTTGGAAGGAGGAAGTATCACATATCTATACCACATATTACTTGAAGTACTATATTAGTATTCCAACTACCACAGCCAACCTACACCACTGGCCTTCGCTGTCGAAGGTTCACATGATGGCAGTCTAAATTGATTTAAGTATGGATGGGAGGACTGAGTGCAGGTGCCACAAGGCATGATCCAGCTCTCTCTGCCAGGGACTGGCATCAACTGACCCATGTTACTGCAGCGCAGAGTCAGCCCTTTCACACAAGGCCCAGAGGCCAAGTGAATTCTGCTTTGATGACATTGTTCCATGGGCGAAAAGAAAACCCTGCAGCTTCAAAGCATTGATGGAAGCATGCACATGCGCATGAACATACGCCCGTTTCGCCAAACCACAGCTCCTCACCTGTCTGTCAGGTTTACAAGCAGTGGTGGCAGTCCAGAGCGTGGCTTAAGTTCCTCAGAGAGAAGCTGGGACCCAGGCCCTGGCCCAGCCTCACCATTCTCTGGTTGTTGCTGATCCCGGTCGTTTTGTTGTCTAGGACCATCAGTATCTGCAGCTACTGCAGAAGGGCCATCATCGTTCTCGTCCAGGACATTCACAATCTCTCCTTCGTAATACCGGCACAAAAGTTCAAGGGCCCTGGCAATGCAGCACACAGTAGTCCATGCAGCAACAGACAGTACAGAATTGATATAAATAGAACAATGGAATCAATATGCAGTAATAGGGTAAAGGACATTTTTGCTTTGGCCGGGTGGCCAGTGCAGCATATCTTATCAGCTCTAGTGAAAATGTAAGTCGCTGCAATGGTATGACGGTAGCTCCAAGGCACTCTCCAAGAGCAGCATATTATCTCCAGTTGCTTCATTCTTAGTTGCTCAGCTCTCTTTAGAGCCTTGTGCTGTCTTGCAGGTCAACGCCATTCCATGGAAATTAACAGTTGCACCATCTCAGGCATACACCGAGTTGCACGATATTGTGCATCACTGGCCTGGGCTCTCCTATGGAGGTCTTGTTCAAACACCACATTTTCACATTGACCTTGGAAACTGCAGGGCCAGCTGTATTGTCAGATGAATACCAACATAGCCAAAGCTGAATTTCACAACTGCAGTGCTGCACTCTTACAGCAAACCATGCAAACTGCCAGTTGGCCAGTCTTCTCAGCTCTTAAACCCATCTACTGCTGATTAGTTACTACTTTCTGCCTGCTCCTCCCATGTAGTGGAGCTTGGCACTGCGTGTAATAACAGTCCTGGGACATTGAAGAAGCAACTATTGGATATTTCTGCATCTGTCACGGCCTAAATGGCAGAAGGGCTTTGCTGCCAAGGCTGTTCTTATTTGCTTTTAGAGTGATTATCAACAATTTGCAATCCACAACATTCAAACTTCATGTACTGGGAGTATTCTGCATGCCATAGAATTTCACAAATCCTTACTTTGTGCCATATCCTGCTCTTCCCAGGTCGGGATGCACTGCTATGCGAACGATGCGCGCCCCAGAGAGTCTTGGAAACTCGCTGTCTTGGAACTGCTGGCCCACTATCCAGGGAATGAGGTCGCCCTGAGGGATGCTGCCGTGGGACATGCTCGACATTACCAACTTCCTTGAGATCTGACCCTCCAGTGCCACTTGCAGGACGCACAGGATGTCAGGGAGGGCATTCTGAGCCAACACACCACCATTGCCAGTGTCAACAAGGATGGGATAGGTTCATAAAGTTGCTGTAGCGAATGCACTGCATGTGCCCACATTCACCACAAGATTTCCAGATATGCGACCTGTCCAAATCCCAACTTCGCCCAAACATTCCAATTTCCACTTCTTGATCTATGGCCATTCAATTGATCGATTCCTGCAGCTTCACCAGGAACTTGCTTCACAAGGAGATTGCCAGCAGGACCCAAGTCCCCTCCACATCAGAAACGATGTCCATTCCTACCAGCAGGTCGCCCATATTCCACAAAGGCAGAAAGCACAAACTGCACAGCAGCCCCCCAAAAATTGACATCGGAAAGGACGGGCCAGTGATCCATTCTCCCAATAGTGCGGCACGTGTAGCAGCAATTCCCATTACCTGCGTTTCGTCAACTGGCCCAAGCAGAACGAACAGGTGATGCGCCGGGGCATCGCTCATCAGCATCAGATCGTTGGGCTGGTTCTTGTAGTGGGAGGCCACGTACAGGGACACCATGCGCCGCAGGAACACCTCAGACGCCTTGTGATAGGAAAAGAGGGTGTCCCGCTCGACATAGAAGAGCTCACACTCGTCTGGGTGGGGCAGCCGAAGTGGGGGCTTTGGGACGTCGTCAGCACAGTCGAGGCAGAGCAGGTTGTTCAGCCACCGCTCCACATGGTCACCCGGGGCATATCTGCAACGAACAGAGTCAAGTCCTGTTCACAGGGTCTCCAAGCCTTCTGCAATCCGAAATTTCCACCATGATGTGTGCATTGGCAAGGAGACAAAGGAATGGCGAACAATACTGGAACGTCCTGTACCTTGCGCAGGTGAAATTTCAGTGAGAGTTCAGCCAACGGAAACCTGTGCACTGCGTGGCATTTCCATATGGTGCAACAAGCGATGTGGAAAGCAGTACACTGTTTACTGGCCCCATGCAGAGGAGGATATTGCACATCAAGGACAACTCAGACATTCGCATTCACTGGCTGGGCAGATACCATTAATTCAGGCTGAACCTTCAAGCAAGCCGATGATTTCAAACAGCACAACCCAACTGCTGCATGAGGCCAACCATCTCTCGTTGCCAATTTCTGAGTTATTCCTTGTCGATGCTCAAGATCAAATGCACAATACTGTATTGCTAAGAAAGCAACAGCATCCACAGAGGGCCCCGCTCACAAGCAACTGTCTTTTGCGAAGCTCCTTCCACATTGTGTACAGATGACTGGGAAAGTTTATGCGCAAGAAGAGCATGCACAGCACAGAGCAACATGCACAAAAACAAGACATTCACGGGGCGAGCATGCCGCCCACCTTATAGGTTGTTCCAGGGTCACCTCCCTGAGCGTCCTCCCAAGGGCGCCTTCCTTTGCATCAGCCCCTGAGGCCTTTGCGCCCTGTTCTCTGAGCTGGCTGATGAGCTTCAGGGACAGGCTGCGCCCTGTGCCCTCATATCCATTAACTGTAGAGCACAGGAACACGAGGTAGGGCCCTAGCAGCGCCTTCACGATCGGCAGTGGGATCGCAGCTGCCTCATCAATGACGACCAACTCAGCCTGACTCAGCTTTGCATGATGCTGAGGCAGGATGTACTGCACGGTCTGGAGAGTGAAAATGCAACAAGAAAGCGAAAATGCTCATTGATCGAATCAAGGATGGCAAAGCCCTGACCTATCACACACAGGGAGTTGTTGCAGCACAGATGCACAGGCGCTGTATAAATGGTGTGGCTGGGGTGTCTCGTGAGGAATGATGCAGATGGTGTACAGCCATGTTATGAGTCCACACTGGAGTGCAGACTGAATAGTTGTACCTACGAAAACCGAAGAGTGCCACACCAATTGCCATGACAAAGTGTATTCCATTGAGGGGTTCGAGGTTGCATTGTGGATTCCTGCGAAGGGCGTGTAACACTTCTCTGTCTGCACAATGAGCACGATGTGTGCAACACCAGTGCAACACAACCAAGGTCGCAGCTCAAGCTGCTGTTCACAACATTTCCACAGTGCTGCCGATTGAAGGGCTGAGTTGTGGTGGATTTGGGTGGCCAAGGCCATAAGTGGCAATAACATACAGCTGCAAAGAATTAAAGCTTCTTGAATTCACTAATGTTGCCATGCTTCTTTGATGCCACTGCGTACCAGTTGACAAGATGCTGCACAATCATCCCAGAGGAGACGAAGTGTGCATTTCCAGTTACAATGTCCTGTTTGTTCATTGTCCCTGAACTGCTGTTTTTTGGCCCGAAAATTGTCTGCTGAACAGCAACAAACACAGGCAACCAACTTCCCAGTCAAGTATCAACTCAGAAGGCTCTATTGCACAGTGCAGAAGACGATGCGGAACTCCCTGAGCGCAACAGGCACACCACACACCACAGAGTAGCACAAGTAGTCCAAAAAAAGTGACAAAAGGCCATACAATCATGCCCATTTCGGTGCTGATTTGGTATTGAAAGGAGATTGTCCACAATCCAGGCCATACCTGTCGATGGTGCCTGAACACATTCACACGTATGATGGCCTTTCCCAGCGCTGGGTTGGTGGACTCCACCAAGTCGTAGTCGATGTGTTCCTTGTACTCCAGGGCGTCCAACCCCTTAAACAGGAACTCAAACAGCGTCCGCAGGTTCTCGGGGGATGGGGCCGTCACAAAGATGTTGCTGTAGCCCAGAGCGATGGCAGCGCTGATCGCGATGCCCATCGCCGCTGACTGCATGAAGCAAGAGCAACCCACCTCAGTCGCCAATCAGCAGAAGTCAACACAGCCCTTGGACAGTAAGTATGTAAGCAAGCAATCAAATAAACAAACAAATATACTGGATTAATATAAACATAAACAAAAAGCCCATTCGCCCTTTGCTAACCACCTAGGAAGGAAGTGTGGGAAAGTGTTCATCATCCTAATGAGCGGGGTCACATGCTGCTCGAGCACCACAAGCTGGTCCACCGCACCCCAGATACAACTTGCATCGAAAGGCAAACTACCTGTGTGCATTTCCTATCCACATGCAAGCACACATGTGTGCATAATATTGTGCCACAATCCTCAAGAGTACAGTCACTGAAAGGCATGTAGAATCACCTCACTGTGTGCATGCATGCAGTGGGCACAATGTCGTTCACAATCACATGATCACTCCCTTATAAGGCCTAACATCGCAATGAACTCTCTTGTGCAAGGGTCAATGGTATACATCTCTTCGTCAAGGGCACAGACCACATACAGCAGCCAGATACCCAAAAGCATTGCTATTGTGACTCCAGTGGACAAGGACGGGACAACGACCCCCAAAAACCACCACCTCAGCTATCTGCAAGCAAAGAGCTTCACAACAGATCCAGCTGTCTGCTCAATGTCTGTCCATTTGAATTCCGCAGAGACACGTGCCATGAACAGTGTGTCAATCTCATTTTGCTTGGAAGGACAAATTCATTCGTTCACTAGTATGTCCACTGGTGTTGCCTACCTTGCCCCTCCCCCTTGCGGCCGTGAGAGCCACAGTGCTTCGCAGGGTCTTTTCTGATGCCGCATCGATGAAGGTCACCACAGCCCTTGCCTGGTCGAGTGTACGACACCGTGCAACAAGAGAACCAGCAGGCTGCACTGGATACGAACACCAAAACCAATCAATTGGAGTATTGCTTTTTATCATTCCTTTTGTTTCTGATCTTCCACATTTCTCACTTGTTTGTGATGTTCAAGGCGCACTATCTGCCATCGCATCGACTAAACTCAGCACATAGGCACAGCGCTCAGGGCCATGTGCTCTACGGCAATAGAGCAAACCATTTTGGGAACAAATCTGGATGCACATGGCACTGGACATCGCCCAAATGGTGCAAAGGCTCTGCTTTGCCACCATTGTCACAGATATTATCAAAGTTGACCTCCACGAATCTGCACAAGGTGCACAAGCAGGCACAAGGACAGTTCACAGGAGACAATTTTGAAACATCGCTAGGTGCAACCATGGGCGGATTCCTTCAAACACCAGAAAGAGAGGAAGGGGGAAGAGTCTATGAGTAAATTCACATCCATTGAGCACAAAATGCTCACATTGCCACAGGATGAATAGACCCTCCACACACTGCTTCTTAGCCCCGATCCATTAAAAGGCCGATCCTGGGATTTGTTTGATGAAATTCAAAGAACTCCCATTCAACCATTTTAATGAACAACTCGCAACCAGATGGAGTGTCACCTCAGCATCCTTCAGTGACTCCTTTAGTTCCTTGAGCTCCGCTGAATGGGCATCCCTGGGGTCCTTCAGTGGCGTGCCATCAGCTTTCGTTGGAATGGGAAGGATGTATTTGACGAGTGTGGACGTGGGCAGGATGTTCAACTCATCGTCCATCAAAATGCAGTTGGGGTTGGAAGCCAGGGATAGGACGAGCCGCTCATTGAATCGACCTGGTGCATGACAAGCCCACCATGCTCACTATGCCAGCAACTCTGGTGACGATGCCAAATTGTGCAAGATGAATGCTCCAAAACGTCACTGCCTTGTGAATCATCCAAAATTGTCCAATTAAGTGAATCTTGTGTCTGAACAGATTGTGCACGTGGCTGTACATAACAAAATATACAATGTTATGCTTCCTCTGTGGAAGTAGTAAACTAAGAGAGACAACACAATGCCCAGCAGTTCAAAGGCATGAACAACTCATGCATCTGCTGTTTATCAACTTGTTGTGCTTACAATCATCTATTTGTTCTACTTTGCTGTTCAACACAACGATCATCTTTCACAACACCAGAAGTTGCGTCTTGCAGCAAAAAGGCAATGTAGGGTCACAGACCCAAGCCATGATCGGCTAATGACTGCCCCGACAAGAGGCCACTGGCATTCCATTGCACGAGCTGCGCAACTGCGGATTGTGGTGATGAAGGAGGCCAAATGGTGTACTGTTGCAGCATCAATATGCATGCAAATTGCAAGAAATCTGGCTGCAGTTTGCCTTTGTAGAGTGGACTGAAGTGCCTATGCTTAAGCTCAAAAGTTGGACAACATAAAGGCCCATCACCAGTTTGCATCTTTGAACCATCGGTGTACCAAACCGATGGCATTGCTGCACAGCCAAATCCGGTCCAACACTTTGCTTGAGCCCACGCAAAACCCCTGCGGTTCAGTTCAATGCCATGTGCAAGTTTCCCAAACCATAACAGTCACAAACAGCAAAACACAAACACAATCACAAACAGCGATCAGATTCCTTGGCAACAACAAACGTCAGCACATGGACGTGTGTCGTTTTCTTTTCCTTTCTTTGTGATATTGCAGTATTAAAGAAATGCTGAAAGGTCCCCATGGTAGACGTCATGCTGGCAAAGGGTTCCAGGCAACAGTCTAGAGAAGGGCAGCATGCACCCAGCCTGCCAGTGTGCACATTTTGAGACACAGTAAATGGCCAACAGCCTTATTCCCCAGCTGGGGCCCAGCTCACCTGTCACTTTCTGGTGTGATTCTGTCCTGAAGCGAGAGTGCACATCCATGGTCAAGTTGTACAGCTGAGTCAGGGAGGTGAGAGTTGACAGCAGCAGGATGACCATGCCCCCGCCTTCCACTGTCTCCATGGTGCGGGCCAGGAGGTTGGGGTTCAAGGCCTCAAAATCCTGAACAAATCAGTGCCAATATGCCGTCTGTTTTGGTTTTGAGGCTCACAATTGGGGTTTTGTTTGCCCAATGAAACATGGCAATTTCATATCTCAAATTGGCAACATTGGCAGTCAGCAGAATGAACATGCATTCTAGACACCAGACTCCTGCACAAGGTCTCAACAGCTCGCACCTGTAGTACGCACATTCCAAACGTGTTACCCAGTATCTTGTGAGTTTCGTGGTAGTAGCAGTAGCGAATGTCTGTGCAGGCCACAAACATTACGAAGGGGTCCTCTTTGGTTGGATCCAGAAGGCCCCTCTGGACCATTTTCTTGAGCTGCTTCTGGCGCTTCAGCTTGTGACTGCAACAAGAGCAGCAGAAAGGTGTGGCAATGCAATCCCTTGTCACACGCAAGAAAAACAAATGAAATCACAGCACCACACACACACACATGTCTATGTACTACACAGAAGTAGTACACAGAACACTGATAGCCTGCAAGACTGGAGGCCCGCATGCTGTCTGTGCCTGTACCTGCTGCTGAAATCGACCTGCTGAACCTGAATGGCGATGGCCACTTTTGGAGACAAGCTGTGAATGCACGGATCGACAGCACAACATCCCAGCTTGCATGTTGTGTATAAATCCAGCAGAACAACTGCTTGGCAACCAATTTCATCTATCAGTTGCAAGGGCAGCACTCAAGACATGGTCCAATGCAGATCTGCACCAACAAGACTAATAAACTGACGATGCCAGACAAATGCCAGTGGTTCCAACAATCTTGGGTTCTTTTTCCATGTGGTAAATGCACTGTGCAGTTTCCATTCTGAACAGTGGCTCAATCTAGTGCTGAAATTTTCTACTCAAATGCAATCCTGCTTAACTGTGGGCTACTGTTGGACCACAATTCAACTGCAACAAGTCATACCGTGCCTTGTCACAGCTAAACATAAATGTGCACAAGGATAAACAACCACATGAGATTGACTTCAAACTGAGGCTTGCACACGATGTGTAAGCTTTGAGCTGTGGCTTGAGCAGGACCCAGTCAACAGGGAGCACGATGGACCAACATGGCATAAGCTTTAAAGTTCATGGCGAGGGTAATGCTCAAAGATGGATTCACCACAAGGCATTCCCGTGTGCGACACATGCACCCGCTGCTGCCCGCTCAAACCAATTCAGCAAGCCAGCTCTTGGCAGCCGCTTCCACACGTCCCAAAGCCGTCCAAATCCACTGACGCCGGCCCAGGAGTCCATCCCCAACAAATAAAACACGAAAAGCCAAATGAAAATCCGCAGCGCATCAAGGCCCACCCATCACATACACTTGCTTAGGAGGGGGCGCCTTTGTATAAACTGTTCCTCTACTGACGCAGACAAATCTTTCCCCAAGAATCATTTGCAAAACACGTGACAATGCACTGTCGTTGCACCACAAATGCGATGTCGGGCCAACCTTCGACCCATCGGCCGCCACCGCTTGCCGCCGCGATGCGCACCCTTCGCCCCTCCCGGCAGCTGGCCTACCGGGGCCCCCACCCCCCTCCGTCCCACCTGCTCAGCATCAGCTCCTTCTTGTAACACCACAGGACGGACGGCCGCTTGGCGACGAGCGTCTTGCTCAGCAGGTAGTGCAGGTTCACCACCTGGTCCCGCCCCTTGTCTCCCACCACCACGAACATCGCCCGCTGGTGCAGCTTCACGCAGTTCTCCACTAGCGTGCGGATCCGCGAATCCACCTTCTTCCTCATGGCGGCACGGGGGGCCACCGCCGGCGGCCACCCAAACTGACGGGAGGCAGTTCCGAGGTCGGATCGAGGGATGCACTTGGCGATGGATCGTCCAACGCGAGGGCCGGGTGTGGGTGGTGTCTTCCAAAAAGTGGGCAGCCGGTCGGGGAGTGTGCGTAGGGGTCGGCGCCGCCGCGCGAGACGTGCTGGCGCTGGTGTTTGTCAGTGGGCGGATACCAGGTGCCCAGATATTGGGGTGGGGCGGGCGGAGCAGACCCGCATTCAAGGGCGGAAAAACGCGACTTCGATGGTACATTAACTCAGTGTAAGAGCATCTTTATCGGTCGGTGCTATTGCACCGGCGGTTCTATCCAGGAACTGTTCTCATTGGCTGCCGTGCCACCTTACTAAGGCGGCATTTGCCGAATAGCACCGGTGCTATTGCTCCCCTGCACATCCGCAATGATGGGTTCTATTCCTACGCCAAATAGCACCATGGCAGCACTATAATGTTCTGCGCGAATAGTACTGGTGCTATTCTGGGGTGCTATTTGGCCTCGAGCGGAGCCCTTCAGGCCCAGAATAGCACTGCTCGTCGCCGAATAGCATCGGCGGTTCTATTGGGGTGCTATTGCTCCCCAGCCGTTAATGATGTTTTTTTGATGTGCGGTGCTATTCGAATAGCCGAATAGCACCGCCGGGACAATAGCACCCACCAATAAAGATGCTCTAAAAAGGGGCACGGCGTTTTATGGGCCAACTCCCCGCAGGAGGTTCTGCCCAAACAAACCCATCATGCGGAGCAGGATGACAATAAAAAAGACAAATGAATCCAAGTCAAACCTGAAAATTCGAACCAGAATGCCCTTGTTCGTGGGGTCTTCCTTGATGAAGTTGTAGCCTCCAACAGTGGTTCAATTTATTAGCCACAATGGACAACTTCAAAAGTTCCCAATGTCGCCCCAATCCAGCACATCCAACATGTTCTGAAACGTTCCACATTCCTGCACGCCCAAGCAAGTTCCAATGCACCCCAGGTTCCAAAATACGTCCAACCAATTTAAACATCCAAACAACAATGCTTGAAAAGAACCTTATTTAACTCCATATCAAACAACATTGAATCTAGTACCCAGCTTCCAACATACTGTCAAAGTTCCTTAGCCATCCCGGTTCGAGGTCCCACTCCTTAACAATCGAATGCGCGCAGCGATGGGCCACAATGCAACACAAGTCAAACCGACTTGGTTCAACCTCTGTGGCAACCTTGGAGCATGTGGGGCTCGAACGCACTCGCTGTGTAGGGTCGGACAAGTAGGCAAGACTCCACTTGCCTTACAACCAAACCCAGAGAAGCCACGAACAGTCTCGGGCTCTCTTTAAATACCAGAATGCGCCTCTTCTTTTGCCCACCAGCACTCACACTCAGAGCGCCGGATTGAACTCACAATGCACACACGCACAACATGCTACCCCACAGCACCGACCCCTAGCATCGACCTACGGCACCAACCCACAGCTCCAACCCACAATACCAACTCATGATCACCAAAATTAGTAAGATTGAAGCTGATTGTTGGCCAGCCGTGCTCCCGCCATCTCAATCAGGTCAATGTGTGCACCAGTCAGCCAGCACATGAACAAGTGCTTGCACTACATGGCAGCTGCAGCTGTCTTGGTGTGTCAGACTTTCATCTCTTTAAACTGGCCTTTTAACATGTATTCACTTCTCTCATTGACTTTCATTGCACATCAATGTTCAGCCACCGACCTCCAGTTCTGAAAACTGGAAGCTGCATGTGAAACATCGAGAAAAGGTGACAGGCACTCAAAGATATTGTTGATGGCATTCCTCGAAACGGGATTCCCTTATGTCACCATTTAATCATCGGGTTGCAAATCAGTAGTTGACGGAGGCAGATCAGTGGTCAATTACTGGTAATTCGAACACGTACCAAATAAAACTGAAACTGGCACCAATGCATATTGAGTCCGGTACCAAGATGGTACTAAAAATGTTGAACGGTGCAACAAGAAATGTTGAGCCCATTCCAATTAATCATGGAATCGCCACTCCCATACGGGGCCCATAAACCCTAAACCAAGCGCAAGCCCAGTGCTGGTCGCAGGGCTGGTCGCAGGTTGCCATAAATTTATGGCCATTTTTAAAAAATGCCCATAAACCATATATGGTTGGCGCTACTGTTGTAACTAGAACTGACTGAGTATTATCAACAGCTGGACGCACAAAGAAGTGATGAGGCATTAGGAATTGCATCAAGGACATTGATTAGGGACGGAACTCCCTTTGCCCGGCTGTCAACCGTTGCCGTGGACTCGAGCCTACAGTCCCCGTTCATGGGTCGCCACCCCTCGGCCCTGCCGTGCCTTTGTCAATACCACGGTGGTGACATGCACATCTTGTCGCAACACCAATTGTAGGGAATGTTCTTCTTCTTCCCCTCCCCCACCCCAAGTGACTGTGCTCAATTCTTGCAGACCCACGTCGTCCAACGTGCTTCAATTACTCCGGTGTATTTGGGTGGCGTCGACGTCATGATATTACACAAATGAGTACTTCGCGCAGAGACAGAGACACAATTCCGTCGAGCAAATTCGCTCAATTCCACCACGTTCAACCCCCATGCCGCCACTTCCCTCCTCAGGCCGCTCCACACATTGCTGGCTTTCCACAGTCCTCTTCTACCAATACTGCACCGTATGTACAACACTCCACGACATGCTCAGCAGAAGTTAACCCGCTGAAAGAAAACGATAAAGGGAAAATTCAATTGACGAGTGCATGCGGGGAGAAAATTGCGCATCCACAACTCCGCCCAGGTACCTACTCCGGCAACGCACACAATCGCTATGCTTTATTCAGATACACAGCGCAATCGCCAGAATGGGTTCTCCCTGTGCCACAGACAGCAAGAAACAGCAGCGCCCCACGAGAGCAGCCAGCCCTGCTGGTGTCAAAGTGCCTATTGGCCCGCTAGCCCATTCCGTGCGTACAACTTCCCAGGCCGACCCCTCAAACCGCACTGCCCTCTGGTGCGCTGCCACCGCAGCACAACCCCTTGATGACGGTGATCAGCGTCGACCAGTCCCCCCAGTTGCCCTCCGGACCGAAGGTCATGGCCATGGACGGGAAGAAGAGCATGCTCCAGAGGTACGACACGACGATCGTCGCCGTGATCATGAAGGCGAACTTGGTGAAGAAGGTAAGGATGGCTCCCCACAGGAAGACGCCCGAGATGAGGGTGGTGATGGCGCCAGCCGTGACTGAGATCCCGAGGCGCGTCAAGGCGTCTTGAGTCCGGTCCATTCTGCTCGTGCGCTCGCTCTCGATGTAGGAATCTGCGCCGCACAATTCTGCGATCAGCACAACGGCCAGAGCAGACCTGGTGCCGCCTCATCACCAACAGGTGATGTGGCGCTCATGCGCCCACAGCAGGCGTCCTTGACTTGCATGCAACCTGAGAGTTCGTCTCCAAATCTGTACTGTGCATACTAAATGCAAGTGGGCCCATGTGCAACCTCCAGCCCCCTGGTCAAATGTCCAGTTGTCCCAGTTGGCTTTGTGTGGGAACAGATGGGCAATGTGCAACTCATCATGCAGCGGGCATTATTTCCGCTGAAGCAAGGCGATGCGAAGTGTCAAAGCAACACACAAGAACACACAACGAAGCTTCTAGAATCACTGCCATTGTTAAAACAAGACAACTTACAATGGGACACACACTGTTAATTTTGTTCTGGACTTCTCTATCGGACACCACAGATTTGTGGACGGTCGCGGCCATCACATATTCCTTGCTACTCCATGCATTACTCATATCGAAGTTGCTTTGCACCAACTCTAATACCATCGTTTACTACATGACAGCACAATTCATGACCAATAAGGACACACTACCTTCCAAGTCATACTCGACATGTGCTCATCACCTGCTCTGGCAATCACTCAACACACTCAGCATTCTTGGCGTCGCTGTGCTAGGAAAGCAATGAGAGAAGGCTCAAACAGGATAAGATTGCGCAAAGGGAGTCCAACGTCCATACCTGCCAAGTGGAGTGAGTAGTCCATTGAGAACCCGATCAGGATGACGGAGACTATGGACTCGGCCACGCCGAACTCCCACCCCATCATGGCACTCACGCAGACACCCATCACTGTAGCAACGATGCCTGCCACAGTTGTTATCGCGATAATAGATATGATCACGTTTCCTGAGGCAACGTTCAGGATCACGAAGGCGATCGCAAACACGATGAAGATGCCCTGAATCGCACTGTCAACCAGTGACTCCTGGGAGAAGAGCCAGACCCAAGCCGCCCTGCAAGCGTGATGGCACAACAGTCAGGGCTGACCTTCTCCGGCAACTGCGCTTGTGCCGAGCGCTTTGTGGGTCAGGCAAGACCACAGGAATCGAACATGGTGGCAGTCTGAAACAACATCACTGCTGTGCGAGGAATACATTCCCACAGATGATGCTTCAACTCTACAAAGGAAAACAGTGTCTATTGCGGAACACCAATGCAAATGATAATTTGCAATTCAAAGAGTCAACCAGAGTAGTATACTACGTAATAATAGGGCACAACACTCCAAAATGTGTGCACATGTCAGTTCGAGGTGAACACCAACCATAAAGACTTTACAAGACTGGAACACAACCAAGACAGCAATAAGATCACTGCAACGTGCTCGATCCTGAACTGTACAGCAAGATCACAACTGCGACGCAAGACAGGGCAATACAGACAACACCACTATGCAGCCGCTGCTCACTACCTATGGATCCAGCACACGAGGGTGTTGTTATTCTGCAGATATTCTGTGCTTGTGGCAGGCCATCTTCGTTTTCCGAACCTCACAATTCAAAGTCCAACCTAACTCCCGCACAAGGCGCACTATGCACGCACAGAATGAGCAGCTAACAATTCTTGCACCTCTTCGATGGTGGAACTGGGAGTGGAACGAAGATGTGAAAATTGCGCGTTGCAGGGGAAGGAAAGCACCGCAAGGCCCTGTTTGTGATTCATACCTCCCTGTCTGGAATCCATTGCTGACTTCGTCAAGCCCAGCAGCCCTTGCATCAGCATTAACAGCATCCATGAAGTCTTCCCAACTGTCCAAGACTGGGCGTGTCGTACTGGCAGCAGTTGGTGGCCGGTACGTAGATGTGAGTTCGAACTGGATGTACCTGCAAAGAAACTCCCTAATCAAGCATCGACCACTGGCACTCGTCGCTACAAAAAGTAGAAGGAATAAACCCATTGAGCAGGTCAATTACGGCCATGACAAATTGCTGCTGGATTGACCGCCATAACTAAAACGCACAACTTACTTATAGGTTGCTTCCTTCAAAGCAACAGCAGCCCAACAAAACCCCACCAGCTCTGAACACACGATTGATGCCAAGTGGCAAATGCATCAACTTGTCAAACCACTCAGGCCTACCTGAGTTCGTCTTGTTCTGGTGTGTCACCTCGGAACAAGCCGATTTTGCCTTGATGCCTCAGCAAAAATTCTGGAGTGTTCATGAACCCCCTGAGGGCCGGAAGGAAATCGGTTTGGTCGACAGGGAGGCCGTTGGGGTATGTATCACTCAAATTGGTTTGGACATATATGTTGAAATCTTCAATCCAACATGGCTCAAATGAGTCGGGAACGGAACGATCGAAACGAACAAGGAATCTGTTGCCATCATCATCTGGGTCACATGCGCTGGCTGTGCATGGTGCCTCCCGGGCCCTTGGACAAACACCTGTATCCACACAGCTGTATAAGAACGAGATTTCCGATGTTTGCGTGTGCCAAAGTTTCCCCCCCACCCCACCCCCAAAAAGAAAAAAGGCACACAGATCTCAAATGGGCACCACTTGCGGCAGTGCTGTTTCTTTTGGATGCCAAGATGCATGTGTCGTATCCTTGAACACACATGGCATAGGACTACCCACCACACAACTACTCTTCTATCTTTGGCAATAAATTCATGGAGCAAATCGGCAGTGCTTGCTTGGTTGATGCCCAAAGGAGGCACCGATGGAGGCATGGTTAGTCTGGGGGCGATTGCATTTTGCCACAATTTGGAAGAGACACCCAACACAAGTCTCCCCACACAGCCAATAGACAAAAATGTCAAGTCCCCGAAGCAACAGCTCTTGCCATTAAGCACGCGACTGGGGGCACAAGCGTCCCACACATCAGGCTGAACTTCTTCAAAGAGGTTTCTGCTCTTTGCAACCAATGCGCACAGCTGGTGGACACAGGCCATCCATGCATGGGGATCAAACAGTGTCCTGGACACATACGAATGCCCACCATCGCCAACAGGGTGCAACAGCACTGTCCTGGCCTTTTGAAGCACAAACACAGTGCACAGTATGCTCTGCACACAACACTCAGCTACAACATGCCCCATCCACACTCACCAAGCAGATGTGTTTGTGCTTCTGGAGAACTCATATCGAAGGCCTCGTCGTACTCCAATGTCCCGAAGTCTTCTGAGTCCCAGATATTCCTGGAGGAGGTGTCGAAGCCCTTGAGGCCCCAAGCCAGGTGCACCTTGGAGAAGGCGTCCTCGTCCCTTTACAGGAGCAAACACTTAGTGTCAAGGAACAAGAGACAACATTACTCCTGAAGCACCAGGCAAAATCGCCTGGGCAGCAAGGGCACTTTTCTGTCATTCCTGCAATAGATATTGTTGCTGTCTCATACACTGGAACAAGAAGGCACAGTCGCTTGGTATCCACCTGGACAGGAAGGGTCCACCACGTTCCCTGAGGTCTGCCAGCTTCTGGAAGCTATGGTAACTGGGCCACCACTGCTCTGACTCCTTAGGAGGGCTGAATTCAGTGATGTAGTACAGACCAAGGCCAAACATGACAGCGCCAATGGCAATGATCGCCCACCTGCATCGCAACACACAGCAAAACCTGTCGGTCAGAAGACAGGGAAATGTGAATCAAAGATACAAAACAAGAGAATTTTGAACGGAAATACTGGATCAGTAGAATGTCTTTAGGCTTGTGCACCCTGCTGCACAACACACCGACGCTTCTGCTAGAGTTTGGAGCATGGAGAAACTACCCAGCAACTGCCAGCCCAACACCTTGGAAGGCATCATGTCCATTAGGAGTTCGTGGGTGCAAGAGTCCCTTGTCACATTTAACCAACTGATGTCAAGTGGAATGCCTCCATTCCCTGAGATTAGGCATGTGGTGTGTTCAGAAGAGGCAGCCCCACAAGGAAGGCATTTTGACTCATTTTGCTGGCAAAGCGGTTGCCACACGCGCCTTTGGAGTGCAGGCACAACTATGTGCCCATTCCCTCCATGTGTGCAGAGCCCTGATGACGGCACTCACTGTCTACCCTTGACAACATTCATACTCGATTCATGAATAGTGGTATGATTCTTGTACGACTTCAGTGACTTATTGGTTCTCTAGTGCTGGCATGGAAGCCAACCATGCATGCGCTGGGCAGCACCTGCGCAGGGTACTGTTTGTTTTACTTGACCTGTGGCTACTCAGACCAATCTTCAATGACATGGGGGTTTGGCACCAGCTGCCAACAACCCAGTTGCTGCACTAAAGAGAAAACACAATACTAGTAGATGGGGTTGCATGTCCTTGAAAAACAATGGAACTGCAGCATCAGCAGCCACGAACACCACAGCAACACAGTGTACAGTACAATGCCACACAGTGGACTCTGCACTGCAACTGCATACCGTACACCGAAAAATTTTCGCGGAGAAAAAATTTCGCGTATTTCGCGGGAAAAAATTTTTGCGGAGAAATATTTTCGCGCACTGGCTCGACCACGAAATGCGCGAAAATTTTTCTCCCGAGAAAATTGTTCGGTATACAGTACATTGACTTCGTAATGTACAACAAAGCGATGCCATGCCATTGGAACGTGGTGACTCATGTCCAAGGTACGGCCATCAGGTTTTCGCAATGGGCAATCCCCAAGGCAAATAGGGGCATAACACCCATCCACTGATTTCAGCCCAAAGGCCAGGGATACTGCAACAAACAACAATAGCACAACAGCAACCAAAACAGTAGCACAACAAGCATGGGAGACACAGCATAACAATAGCACATCTGACCTTGCCACCTTCAGGAATCTAAAGTATGGTCCATTGAAAAATCTCTCCAATGGCCTCATTTGGGCCACAGACTCCATAGTGAGCATCCTCCTAATTGGCGGCCGATCCACGAGCTGCTTTTCAGGTGCCGAGTAGGCGCTCATGACTCCACCCTCGATGCTCCCAGTACCAACACCAGACTCAGGGGACACAGGGCCGTCCACCGTATTTGAAACCTTTACTGACAGCGGTCTCCCTGACTTGATATCAAAGCCCTTGTCCGGTTCTATGTGGCAGCAAGTGCAGCATGGCAGGGTATTCTTAATGCACTCCATTTTGCACAGCGGTATGCAGCAGCAACACACCCTCTTGACACAGTACGGTGTGTACCTGGGGTCAGACAGAGCGTGTCAACCTCTGAACTTTGCGTCACAATAAAGGCAACAAAAGCACAAAGGTGATCCAATTCGGAGGTTACATAAGTTTAGAGGATAGTTGCTGTCAGCTGAAGGCAGTGACCTTGTGCCACACTTCCGTCCCAGCCCCGTAAACTCGTGCCTTGTCTACAAGCAAAGAATGATAGGACTGATGTTCCGAAACAATCAGACAACGTGCATAACAAAGCCCTGCAACATAAGGATAATCCATGAAAATACAAAGAAAATGATCAGACAACATGTAATCCATTCAAAACATAGACAAAAGGAACAAACAACTTGTCAAGACAGAACGCACTAGCCACGAGCAGAGACCATGACAGCAGGATGGCACCTACCCTGCCCAGAGAACCAGAGCACAAGGCATGATCAGCACATTGAAGAGGAACAGGATCACGATGCACAGCCCCGCAAAGATGCCAAAGGACGCCATAGGCATCAGCTCAGAGGTCGCAGATGCAAAAAATGCGGCAGCTGTTGTGAACGAAGTCACAAAGACAGCCTTGGAGGCCCTGTGGGCAGTGTATTGGAGGCGATCCTGCAGGTTGATGCCCACCCCAGGCATGGACTCTGACTGCTTGAAGGCGTCTGTGAAGACGAAAACGTCATCGGCACCCAGACCAAGCAGGATGAAGATGACAAGTATGTGCAACTGGGCAAAGAACTCGATCTGGTGGGGAGAACAAGAAAAGATGTCACCATGCAAGGTTTTGCGGGAAGACATCATAGGGGCCACTCGAACAAAACCTGCAGGGCCCAGATGCCTTGTTGCTTTTCAGGGCTTGAATGATCCGACGGTTGTGCACAAGGCTAATGGCAGCTCCACACATGCACGCACAAATGCATGCACACAGACACACAGGTGATGACAGCAGTCACTGATATGACCCGATATTCATGTAATGAGGATCTGGACACACAAGAAGAAACAAACATGTGCAACACGTGCCAGATTGTGCCAGCTAGGTGCAGGGCCAGCGTCTTTCCCTGACAAAGGCCCAACCTACTCACAGTGGCATAACACACATCTCATGGCTGGTTACGTAACACAACATCGTTGCTTCACAGAGCAAAGCACAACAGCAGCACACAGCACATATCAATCTCACTCACCCCAAAGATCTGCCTGTAAATGAAAGCGCCCGCAGGGAATGCAAAGAAGATCTCAAAGGCACCAACAATTGACAAGAAGAAGGAGCCTAGGTGGAACATCAAGTACAGCCACACTCCAACGAGACTGAGGCCAGCCCATGTGAAGTCCAAAAAGATGACCCGCAGGAACTCTTCCGCCTCCAGCGCAGCAGTTCCCCACACCACCTCAACAGTCCGAAGGGACCCTGTATCAGAGTACTTTGTTCTGAAGAAGTTTGCTTTCTCCATGCCCAGCAGTTCCCAGAGGTCCTCTTCCACATCTTTCAGGAAATTGTCGTAGACGAAGTCTATCTGATCATCGTCGCTGCAGGGACACAAAGCACCACGTTTGCGAACACGGGTTCAAGGCTCAGGCTGCATTGCTCAGAGCACAAAGCCTTGTGCACAGGCAAAAGCATTGGATTGGATCTCTGAGTTGCCTTGCAAAGTAAGGTAGGCTATTGGCCATTAGATTGAGTTGCCCTGCATCAACTTGCCAGTGACTGGGCAAAATGCCAAAAAGTCAGAAGCACCAGCATTCAGCCAAAAGGTTGCCATTGTGACAAATGCCAAACAAGAAGTATGGCAGCAAATGGTGACATGGGACAGAGCTGGGCAGTCGCAGCTGGAGCCCACAGAAACGCCATAGTGCACTGGTCGGCTCCTGGTGATAACATGTCATCAACTTCCGCAAGGTGAAAAGATGCCATCAATTTTAGCAACCCAACTCCTCTAAATCTGGGCAGTCTGGGTGGGCAAGATGTGAAGACTATTGCACTGTCCACTCCAACCTGATCATATTCTAATCTGCACTGTCTACAACTTTGCAACACTGCTGACACAAAACCATACCAGTGACAGTGCAATCCATTTTGGCCAGACACACAGGCTTGGGAAACAGGCGCCACAGATAACAGGATCCAGCAGCGACTCCCAGCCTACTACCAAACCAAAGTGAACCAGACAGAAGGACACACGACATGGTGTTCAATGATTCTCAAAGCCCTTGAGCTCAATGTTCTGGCCCTAGTGCATATGGGGCTTGCAAAGAAACATTGTGGTATATCACAGGGAGTATGTGCAGTCTGTGGAGCCTTGTATCCCAAGAGGGGCATCCTGAGGTGAAGGTACAAACAAATGCCTCATCGAATGCAACAATCATATGCTTCTATCCTCCGATTGCAAAGACACGCACATTTCCAGTATCTTGGACTGTTGAACCTGCGAAACTTTGGCCAAACCTGATAGTTGCGAGGGAAGCACTTCATCATGTTTTCACAAGAACGAACAGTCATGTCTTCACAACTGCGAGCTTTGATGGCTCAACACCTGGAGCTCTCATCGCTCCAGCCAGGAGAGTGGACATCCACTATTCCCTCCAGAGCCAAGCACGATGCAAAAATACACACCACACATTCCCATACAATAGTACACAATATACCACAGTGCAGTTGCGAACAATGCGCCTAATACGATACGCAGTTGGCACAGGTCACAAACACAAGGTCGCGTGGGAAATCCACAGCATTATGTGGGCAAGTGAGGGGCTCAAAACGAAGTCTTGAATGGCAACTTACTCATCCTTGCTGTTGTTGTACTTGTCGATGGGCAGACCGAAGGAGTACAGGCTCTGGGTGTACAAACTTGATGCATTGTTGTTTTCGGGGAATTCCTTGACGACGTAGAAGCCGTTCACGAAAATATCCTGGCAATGAGCCCCAATGGATTCTGGTCAATGCATTTGACAGGCGCCATGAGAGCCGCTTCAAGGCATGATGTGCGCATATCTTCTGCTAGGGTGGGGGTGCTAACTGTACTTATGAATGTGACATAATACTTTGGAACAACAAACCTGCATCTACAATAATACAATGCAGGTGTCTTTCTACAAAAGATCCCTGGTGGCGCAACAGAAGTCAGCATGTTCAGGAAATACTAGGAGAGCACAGTAATCAGACCCATCTGGAATGTAACCGTGGTGGCACTGTAGGACTTGGGGAGCAATTTTCACACCTTGCACTTACCATACAAAGCTCAAAACATCTCAGAACACCAAGAGCATGAACATGGATGCATCACAGGCAATCGCCACACCTGATTGAGGAGTGCCAGGCCCTCCTCTGGGCTGTTAATTTGAGCACCATATCCATCGGATTCACTGAAATCGAAGAAGAAACCAAGAGGCGACAACTGGGTGATGCAGGTTGGGTTGTCCACATCGGTGTAATCCAGCTCACAGAAGTCTCGGTACATTGGGTTTCTGAGCAATGTGTTCTCAACCTGTAAACCATCAGGACAAAGAGGTCACGAGTTAGCCATCACATGGAGCACCGCATAGGCATATGCATTCAAAACAACATGACAAATCAGGGCTCACCTCTCAGGCCACATTGGGACCATTGCCAACTTCTTTAAATACAGTCCAGAGTAAAAACAATCGCTCTTTTTTTTACAGTGGAGTTGAAGCAGGAAACCACAAAGTCCCAAAGTACCAGAGGTAGTCAGCAGAAGGAACGCAACACCATCAATGACCTCGATGCAGGAAACCATCTCACAACACCAATTATTGGGTACCAGTTCACAATCAGCGGCATATACACACCCACACTGCAGCCATGCACATGAAATAAAGTTACACAACCCAATTACAGTATACCCATACCATACCAACACCAGCACGCACACACGTCAATAACAATCCTGGATGCTGGTCACCAGCCTTTCTGCATTCCAGCAGTATCCCAATAGGGTAGCGCAAGCGATCTGAGCCAATCGCTCCCTTCACACGTCTGGTTACCTCTCTCACTATCTCCAGGTTCTCTTGGGTGAACATGTTCATTCCACCTGTTTTGTCCTTATAGATGAAGGCAAGCTTCAGGGCGAAGTTGTCTTGGCTACGCTTGCGCTCGTCGATTTGCGATGCGAGCTGCTCCTCTGCCTGTGTGATCGCCTCATCTCGTTGGGAATGCTCGTTGGTCTTCACAGTCCATTCGCTGCCCCCATCACTGATGCTGAAGGAGTTGGATGCAACAGCTGCGACCGCCAGAAGGATGACAACCACCACGATCACCAAAAACATCTGTGAAGGGCACAAGACTGGGATGCGTCATTCCAAAGGGGCAAGGAACAAAAACCGAAACAAGCTTCAGGCAGCACTGGCCCTGGACGAGACCAGTATAGGGTGCCGCAGTGGAGATAGGGCAGCGATCTGTTATATTCAGACAGCTGCAGTGCAACTTAATTCCTCAGTGCCAACAGACGCCCTCTGCCCACAGATGCTCTCTGATACCTGTGGCCAGTTTTGTGCCTTTAGGTCCAAGGACTGAGAGCAGAAGATTGCATGTGCGGGCTGAGTTTCAAGGCTGCAGAGGGATTGGAGAATTCATTCTTGCTTGACAGCTACACGCAGCTCTCCAGTGTTGATACACTCAATGCAATCTGGCTAACAGCAACAAGCCAGTTGCTGCTAAAAGCATGGCCAATGCACCTCCTCATTTAAAGAAAGGGATGATTGCGCTCAGGGCTTTGCAAATGGTTGCTGAAGGGATGAAGAACGTCACACAAGGGGTGGCACTCCTTGTCAAGGGCAAGTCACTTTTGCTGACAAGGACAGGGCACTTAGGAAAATCCAAATTCAATTGGCACATCACAAAGCAATTAACGATGGAAGGTCAAGCCAGCAGAAGCTTGTGGAGTGCTGTTGCAAGTGAGCTGTGGCCTGGTGGGCCACAGGAGACAGTACGTTCTGGACAGGATCTGTTCACCCACTCGTTGTTGGAAGCTTTCGCATTCAGCCACCCAAAAAGACCCAACAAACCCTCCACACCGCCAATAATAAATGCAAAGGGTTAAGGAGGGACGGAGAAATTTGGCTGTGCAGCATGCACTATGAAGAACGGCGATGTTCGATGCTGTGCAAGAGCACACATGGTTTTCAAAGGCTGCAGATTTCTTTGATATTCTCAAATCATTCTGGTCAGCTCTTGCAATGTCTAACTATGCTTTGGGTGCAGATCCATTCACTGTATTCGTCTGAAAATGACACGACACAGATTCTGCACCTGCAGTTTTTTGTTGACAGCTGCGAGTAAGCATGCGAACAGTCCTGGATCCATGACTATGTGAAATACATACTCAGGTGGATTACTATCCCAACCACTGCCACAATAGACACTTTACAGGTGGATCATTTGTGCGATGACCAGATAAAAATACAATGGCATAAGACATAAGGACTCCTGAATCACGCCACTGCACTCCATTCAATCCACCCGGCGTTCTACTTGGCTTTGCTCGGCTCTATCATGCAGCCTTTGACTTCCGATGCTCAATTCTGGCACACGACAATGCAAAGCTGCAAAGCTGCAGTTTGCAATGCTTTGCAATGCAAAGCTGTAGTCTGCAATGCTTTGCAATGCAAAGCTGCAGTTTGCATGCACGGCGTACACAATGGCTCAACGCCAACCTTGTTGCACCAGAGCATCCCTGAAGTTGCCAGGTGGTTTAGATGAAATTGCCGCACTGCGAAAATGATGGTACATGTTCTTCAATCTACAGATTACAGTTGGCAACATAGCCAGACAAACGGACTAAGCCCTTGCCATTTGCAGGTAATGGTGGCTCTGACACGTGCTGCCATTGAAGAGCAATATGGCCACGAAGACGCGGATGTCCACACCCCTGAACCTGGCTCGGCGCAAAAGCCCTTGGGTGCCCGGCGGCAGGGGTTTCACGGCACTAGCAGGTTCAAGGGGTGTGCGGTGCACACTGTGCGCCTGCATAAAATTAGTCGCTCTGTCATTTCCGTGAAAATCCCTTCTGGTTTTGACAACCTAATCCCCTAAACCACTGACCCAAGAATATGTTAGTCCCTCTGTCTTTTCGGTGCGGATCCCATCTTCTTCTTCCGCTGACAAGGCCAACGTGGGTCAGTGGGCGTGACATTAGTCGCCCTGTTTGCCCGGCCCTCGGACAACGTCTAGCCCCTTTCCTTGCCTCGCTCTCTAAAACTCCCCACCCCCAATTTCCTCGCCGCCTTCCTTCGCGCCTCCACCAATCACCGGGAATATTCCCTGCACGCTTCTGGAAGTTTACGGCGAACCGGAGCGGCTCCCCGGCCCCATTAACGTGACACCGGCGCCCCCGCCCGACGTGCAGCCACACCAGGCGCTTACGACTCGCTCACGCCCGCAAGTGATGCCGATTAGCGCAAGGGCCGGTATCTTGTGCAGCATCGCCCCTGACTAACAACCCAGCTGCGGATCTCTCCGCACCGCCGGCGCCCGTCATGGGGAGAGGGGTCCGTCATGCCCTTGTGACGGGCGGGCTCGCGTGACGGCGCTCGCAGTTCGGGTCTAAAGTACTGGGATCATCGGTCTGAAGTCCGCGAGGCGCTGCGGCCCCGCCAGCAAACCCAGGCTGAAGCCCGCACCAGCCACAGCTGCGGGGATCGAGGGGGTGGGCGGTGGGGACCCGCGCGATGCCCCTGTTCCCCAAACCACCCCCAGCACCCACCGAAGGCGAACACCACCCCAAAATCATCCACCGCCATTGGCAAAGGCATGATCCACGTGCCGGGTCAACCGACAGGGACTCCTGAGCAACAGCCGGCTCCGCCGCCCACACATCAGCCCAAAGGAGGTAGCTCACGCGCGCAAGGCAATGCAGAAAAGCAGTCAGCCGCAGTTGGCCTCGAGACTGCGCGGGCATCCCACGCAAACCCCACCCACACCTTACCGGATTCTGCACGCGCCGAGAAGCGCCCAGGAACCCGAGGGCGCAACCCCGGGCCCGCAGGGCGTCCGACGGCGTCCGTCAACGCTGCCCCGTGACCATCGCGATCGGACCAACATCATGATTGGGACACCCCCCTCCCCTCTCATCTCGGCTGTTGCGGCGGTGGCCTCCTCCCGGCGCACGACCCTGACAACCTGGCACGTCAGCCGGCGCAGCTACCACCAAGCTAGGATCGCACCCGCGCGTCCGCGTCCCACCTCCCTGCCCAACCCCGAATTCCTGCATCCGAAGCCGGAGGCCAGGAACAGGCAGCGCCCTGCCCAGGCACCCCCGTCGACGTCCCCCGCGCCGATCGGGCACCTTGCCGAGCGGATGCAGCCCCACCCCACCCACCCCCCTTGTCTCCCGCCGGGTGGGACCGGATGCAGGCCAGGACCCACCGTCACGGGGCGCTTATACGCCCAGCCAGAGTAAACCTCCAGCCATTTGGACGGCTTGAGGTACTCCCGCTTCTTCTGCCGCTCGCCGTTGGGCCCCCCGCCGTGAGCCTCTCCCCCCATGCCTGCTCCGCCAGCCTTAGCGAGCGAGTTTGCGCGGCCTGCAGCCCGGCGGTGGCGACCGGTGGGTCCCGCAGGGCGTTGGCGGGGATGACCTGATTGAAAGGCTGGCCTCCCGCAACGGCCTCACCCGTGCGGTCTGCAAACATAATACGGCGGTACGGGATGGGGACGCGGCCGGTACCGGGCGGTGTCCGGGGCATCAAAGCCCGCGTGATGCTTCGTGGGCGCACTTCCTGCTGGGGTGGTGCCCTCCCACCCGACGCGGGCGCCAGCCGGCATAATCCACAGGCCATGTTTGGGAATGCGGCATTGTTCGCAACCCCGCATAAGACGGGGCTGGGCATAATGACCACCGTTTCACTGGGTGGGTCACTTCTGCATTATGGTGTGCGACTTGTATGCACGTCAAGAATATGGGGTATATGCAAGGCATTCTAAATCTATAAACAGGAAAGAAAAATGTGTTTTAGGATTCACAGAGTTATTGCGGCGATGAGTGGGCATCTTTGAAGTGTCGTATGGCTGGTTGTTGATGGATGACGGTTGTTGTCATGTCAAAAGAAGAGCTCTGTGGGGGCAAGAAGATTCGAGCTGTTCGGTTGCGGGGGTCGTTGCCACTGTCGGCAAGGCTCGTCGTTGTGGGAAGGGTGGACAAACATGTAAGCCCTGGGCGTCTTGTGTGTGGTGTGGCCTTGTGTCTGGCCGTGTGCCAGCGCCGTTGAAGCATCGGCGATCGTGGACTCACGCTTCCCGTGCGCACTCCAAAGGGGGGCTGTTTGAATCGCATCAACGGCCATTCCTTCAAGAGCATGAATTAGTCGCTATGTCTTTTTCCGTGAATACCCCTTTCTGTTTCGGACACCCCGGGCCGTGAACCACTGACCCACAGACAGGCGTTGGCCTTGTCAGCAGAAGAAGAAGGGATCGTCAAGGAAAAGGCCGAGGGACTGATATGTTTTCCGCGGCCCAAGCAGCCGACTCCAGCGCCCCCTGGCTTCGGGATGAAATTGGGGCAGTAAACTTCAAGTACAACTTTACGCGATCCCCTGTGCACCGCCTGGGGGAAATGTGGGTTCTTTGCAACCTCCACAGACAGCACGAAGCCATCTGGGGTCGACGGCGGATTGTCAGTGCGACATATAGACGCATGAATACGGGCTAAGGAGGTTGAAAGAGACCCGTACCTCCCAACCGAGGCGCGGCCGGTCAACGTGGCTGCAGAAGGCAAAGTACCGCGACTTTCTGCTAAAAACAGGGGTCCACGCGATAGTTTATACAACTTAAAGTGCCAAAACTCCCTGGCTCTGCAAACTTCCAGCCTACCCCCCGTCACAATACTATCTACCAACCGCATGCAGCCGTTCAAACAATAGATAGAAACCCAACATGGGCGTGCGGTCCCCACAACTTGTGCGCCCGCACAAATGCCAAGATTTGGAGGACGGGAGAGGACGGAAATGGTGGCAGCAAAAACCGGTCCCAGGGCTAGTCCAACCACTCATATTGGTGGGCCAACGTCATGAAGCTGCTAAAATTGTTCGGCGACGCGGTTACGAAGACAAGATTCATCAACTGAAGGTAGCAAACCCCCACCGTCTGTGCCCCATTGGGTGCTTTCACGAGACCAGTGCGTACCTCCCACCCCGGTCGCACATCAAATGGCCCAAACGCCTAGAGACTCACCCGAACATCCACAGCCCACCCCGAACCCCTGCGGTGCTGTGAACGCCGTCCACCTATGTCCTGGGCAGACGTTTTAGTGCTGGTATTGCCAAGAACCTGAGCAGCAGCATTCGCGCCTGCAAAGGGCCTTCTCTCTCAGCCCCCTCCTCCACGCCGTCATCATTCAGTCGATCAACAAAATACCCGAAGTTCAGCATCCAGGCGTTCATGTGTCCATTTGAATTATCATTTCCCGCTTTCATTTGCCCTCCCCTCCCCTGCCGCACCAGCCTCTCATGGCGGCAATCAGCGTCGACCAGTCCCCAAAGCTGCCCTCGGGGCCGAATGTCATTGCCATGGACGGGAAGAAAAGCATGCTCCACAGGTAGGAGGTGATAATGGTCGAAGTGATCATGAAGGCGAACTTGGTAAAGAAGGTCAGTATGGCACCCCACAGGAAGAGGCCCGAAGTCAGTGTGGTGATGGCGCCAGCAGTCACAGAGATGCCCAGGCGCGTTAGCGAGTCCTGGGTACGATCCAGCCTGGTGGAGCGCTCGCTCTCGATGTAAGAGTCTGGACACAGACAGGCACCAAGGGGGTCAGTAGTCTTTACTCGTTCGCACAACCCGCCCCTGAAAAGGTCAGTGCAGATGTGATGAAATTTACGTTCAGCCTGCCAGGTGGCTTGCATCTAGAACATACACCATCGCAAGGGCAAGACGAGTTCTCAGATGTCCTTGCACAACGTGGGTGATGATGTGCTGCTCCTACTCATTGTCAGGAATCTCGTCAGTAGCCACGTTATTCATCAAGACGTCGCACAAGCGTTTTCATCGGTCAGTCAGCGAGTGTGCTTCATCAGTCAGTAAATTAAATATTCACTCACTCAATCAACCCACCAACCAACAAATCAATCAACCAACCAATCCGTGTGCTTGTCCATCCATTAACCAACTAACCAACATCAGTACCTGCCAAGTGGAGGGAGTAGTCCATTGAGAAGCCAACCAGAATGACAGAGACGATGGACTCTGCGACACCAAAGTCCCAGTCCTGGATGCCCTTCACTGCCAATCCCATGACAGATGTCACAATGCCCGCCACAGTGAAAATGGCGATGATTGAGATGACAACGTTTCCTGTGGCGAAGTTGAGAACCACAAAGGCGATGGCAAAAACAATGAAGATGCCCTGGACAGCGTTGTCGATGAGGGCCTTCTGCGAAAATATCCATACCCAGGAATACCTGCACAGGTGTGAGATGGAGCATGTCAAGGCAAACTCTTTCACGCATTTGGCCCTTGGCACTCCCAAAGATTCGCACTTTCTTTCGATGTGGTGGAAGGCCCACCTGTCATCTCCAGGACAGGGGGGACCCTCGAAACGCTTGGCAACGTTTGAAAAAAAAACAGATACTGATACCACATACACAAGAATAATGCTAGATGCGAAAAGTAGGCAAAACAGACATAAACATGAACAAACAGAAAAAAAAACAGAAGCGAACTAAAAATCGTGTAAAAAAATAAAAGTAGAATAGAAACAGAGAAACAGGCAGAAGAGCCGAAGACCAACAGCAGCTCACCCTCCAGTCTGGTAGCCCGCGCTGACCCCGTCCGCGCCGTTTGCCGCCGCCTCCTCGTTCAGCCCAACAATGAAATCCTCCCACGCGTTCAGTACCGGCTCCGTCTTCTGGTGCGCCGTGGGCGGCCGGTAGGTGGACGTCAGTTCAAGCTGCACGTACTTCAAGTCGTCACCCCCAAACAGGCCAACGTGCCCCTGGTACTTCAACAGGAACACCTCCGTGTCCATGAAGAGCTTCAACACGGGCAGGAAATCGGTCTCGTTGACCGGCAGGCCGTCTGGGTAGCCCAGGCTGGTGTTTGAGCGGACGTACTCGTCCATGTCTTCGATCCAGCAGCGCTCGAACGAGTCCGGCTTGGAGCGGTCGAAGCGGACGAGGAACTTGTCGCCGTTCTCGTCGGCATCGCAGGCGCTGGCGGTACAGAGGGCCTCCCGCGCCTTGCCGCACGCGCCTGGAGGGGGAAGGGCGATGTGCATCAGACACAGGCCTTTCGCTGCTGTTACAACGTGCAGTGTGGTGTGGGATGTGTGGCCGACTGCTTTGGTTGCATCCTATTAACCACATGACAGGGCAAGTCCCTCCGCCAAGCTAGCCATGCCGGGCAAGCTCGTGCGTGTGACCGTCTGCTGGTGCCGTAGTTGTTACTGTCAGTGCATGGTGCTAACTGCCGCGAGCAGCGTTGGCACTAGCAACAAATTGTGCCTCCTGGCCCTTCTTCAAAACTGTGCACACTTTCGATACACGACTCTTTGCTGCCTATGACGATTCAAACACGGGCAGAATACGTTGAAATGTGCGGGTTATATATTATCTTAGAATACATTTCAATCCATATGCTGGACATGACACCCACACCACATGAGAGCAGAATCCATCAAACCCACTATGAGCCGTTTCCTGCCCACGCACCTAGCAGGTGGCTTTGCTCCGCAGGGGACGACAATCTGAATTCTGTGTCGTACTCCACCACTCCCCAGTCATCTGGGTCCCAAACATTATAACCCGTCAAGTCCATGCCCCGCAGGCCCCACACCAGCTTGACCTTACCAATAGGACAAGAACATATGTCAAAAGAAAGCAAAACAAATGAATGAGCCAAAGGCCTTCCTTTGTGTGAAGAAGCGAATGGTGTATTTCAAATACAACATGAAACACAATAAATACCCTGCTCACTGATCATGCCTCTGACTCAGAAGCCTGTGACTCAGAAGATCGGCCATCAACATGTTGTGGTATCATTCTACGAGTACCTCAAACTCGTTATCAAAGTAACACCCAAATTTCGCACCTCACAGCAGACAAAATGCACAGTTGCTGAGAAAGCAAACAGCCTGAGGACTCAAACAAAGGAATGCAGGTCACAAAATGAGCACCCACCAGCTAAGCAACACCTGTCTAGTTTCCACCTATTTCCAACCAATAAAAATGATGGAAAAATGCAACAACATATAGTTTACAGGAATGTGATATGGCAAACTGGCTCACTTTCCACGGTCCAAGTCCCCGTCAAGTTCAGATCAGGCAGCATCAGTTTCTCTCGCAGTTTGGAAGGAACTCTGACGATGTTTGGCAAATGACCAACCTGAGCTGCATGTCGTGAGTGCACACAATAGTGATGCAGAAGCCTGCAAGTGGGACATGAAGTCGTGCGCTCCACAGTCAAAAACTGTCCATTCCACACTCTTTCAACTGTGTCATTCAATAATGTTTGAGTTCTGAAAATCATGTAGTGGCAAATGGATTCAACTGGATGCAATCTGTTTCGACTACATGTTTGGTCTCAACTATCACTATTGCCGCTGACCGTTGCAAAGGTGTCGTCATCCTCTGAAATGAAGGGCCCCCCACGGTCCGTCAAGTCTTGGTACTTGTTGAAGTTGTGGTAGTCAGGCCACCACTCCTCCGTCTCTTCGGGTGGGGAGAAGGTGGTGATGTAGTACATGGCGACGCCAAACAGGACGGCGCCCGCAATGATGAGTGGCCACCTGGGGGCAGAAGGTAGCATTGCGTCGACCAAGAGTACAACACCCTAAGGCAAGGGGTTGGCCAAAAAGAACGGAACGGTTCAAAGTGCACAAAGCCACCGCCCCAGGATGCAGTCTCATCGCAGAAGCAACAAAGAAATGGAGAAAAATGAGAACGAGCGACAAAGAAAGACAAGTGGTGCAGGGTGAACATCTCCAGCATGCCCATGTGGGTTGGACAACCAAACATTGGGACAAGGAAACAACTCAGTGGAGATGCACAATGTGCTGCCGACACTCTTTTGAAACGAACCTGGCCACCTTGAGGAAGTTGAAGTACTTGCCATTGAAGAACCTTTCCAGCGGCCTCATTTTTGAGACAGCCTCCGCAGTCAGCGCACTGGTGCACCTCTCATACACCTGATCCTCTGGATGCGCTGTCTGCACAGTCAACTTACCCCCCTCCAAGTTGTCCGCGTTCGCGGCCACTTCCTTGAAAGCAGCCCCGGATGAAAGGTCGAATCCTTCATCGTCGACCACATGGCAGCAAACGCAGCAAGGCAGGCAGCGATGGAGAAATCTGCACACTGGTGGGCAGCAGCAGCAGCAGCGCCTCACGCACCAAGGTGTGTACCTGCCAGGCAGACATTGGCTCCTTAAGAGAAAGGGAAGCAGGTCAACCAAAAGGCCAAGCACTGAGACTGAACTCTTGTGGGAAGCCTTTCCAAGCCCTAAGAGGTGTAGGGGTCTTTTGAAGGGCACTCGGGAACAGCATGCGCAAAGTACAGCACAGCAAGTCTGGCTCAAAAGGCCAGGGGTCTTATAGGAGGGTTCAGTAAGCAAGACAGGTAGAGACCCTTTTTTGTGGCCGCTCCTTTCACAAGCGAGCTGGCGGCTTCCATATATCCCCCATATCTTGTGTTGTGTAATTGATTGAATACTGCATTTTGAAGGTGTGACAGTATGCACCTCCTTTGTTGCCTGTTCTGGAAACTGCTTGAGCCCCACAAATGCACACTGACCATTTCAGTTTCAGCAGAATGCAAACACCACAATGCCAAGCACCAGTCCGAAGATGACACAGCCGATCCAGCAAACGCAACTTTCCGTTCGCTTACTTTGCTCCTGTATATCTTCAAATCCATTTTCGGATATTGGTACATGGGTTGGTAGAGCTTCCAGCATTGACAGGACATTTTTCTGTGCAGGCGCAAGTCAACGAGGCAGCGGTAAAGTGCTAGAGATCAACTCAATGCACAAAGAGCAGGGGTCGGCGATGCAGTGGCATACCCGGCCCAGAGCACCAGCGCTGGTGGCATGAGTAACACGTTGATCAGGAAGAGCAGCACAATACAGATCCCGGCAAATATCCCAAACGCCCTCATGGGCATCAGCCCGGAGGTCGCGGTGGCAAAGAATGCGGCAGCCGTGGTGAAAGAAGTCACAAAGACGGCCTTGGAGGCCCTGTGGGCAGTGTACTGCAGCCGCTCCGGCAAGCTCTTTCCCACGCCAGGCATGGCCTCTGACTGCTTGAAGGCATCCGTGAACACAAAGACGTCGTCGGCGCCCAGACCCAGAAGGATGAAGATGATCAGGATGTGCAGCTGTGCGAAATAGTCCACCTGGTGGGTGGGAAGCACGCAAGGGTGTCAGAAAGTGGTAATGAAGAATGCGCTGTTCTGACCAAAACAGAGCAGCGGGCACTTCCCTCCTGGAGGTATTGCACCCACCTGGTCCGCACCCACTCTGGATGAGTCGAAACCTCGCAGGTGGAGAGTGCGAAAAGGGGAGATTCAGGTACCAGACTCACACAGCACAAGGATTCCCACAAGGATGAAAGGCATCGATAATCCAACACAGGCAACCAGCCAAGGATCCTCTGTAGGAAAACAAACTGGTCAATTGCCACTCATGTGGAGTGCTTAGAACTCCTTTTGTTGCCCGAAAGGCTGTTTAGAAACCTCACAATTGCAGTTCAAAAAGCATGCCAGCTTGCAGTGTGGAGTCCGCTGCACATATGCAGATGCGTGCATCAGCAGCACAGCGGCAGCAATGCCAAGTAAGCACAAAATCAACAATAAGGGGGAAAACAGTGTCCTGGTTGCTACAAGTGCTGCACGTGTGCCTACCCCAAAGATTGTCCTGTAGAAGAACAGCCCTGTGGGGAAGGCCATGAACACCTCGAAGGCGCCCACGCAAGACAGGAAGAAGGAGCCCAGGTGGAACATCATGTACAGCCACACAGACAGCAGGCTCAGGAAAGCCCACGTGAAGTCCTTCCAGACAACCCGCTCGAACTCCTCATTCTGCAGTGCAAAGGCACCAAAAACGACCTCCACGCCACGCAGTTTGCCAGAGTCACAGTGCTCCGTGCGGAAAAAATTCTTGGCTTCCATGCCCAGCACCTCAAACAAATCATTCTCCACTTCCTTGAGGAAGTTGTCATAGACATACTCAATCTGGTCTTCATCTCTGCAACGGAAGGGTCACACCCGCAATGGCGTCAAAACACATCCAGTCCAACAGGTGCTGCAGACTTTCTGCTGAAATCGCAGTGGCCTCAGTAGTTAATGCAGCTTGAAATACACAAAAGCACCGAAACCAAACTGCTATGGACAACATTCTCAGCACAAACACTACAGTGTAGCAAGCTACAAGTATGAACGTTCACCCTTGTCCTAGGCTGCACAGACACCCCACATTCTACTGTCGTCACAACAGCAGCCCGTTTTGAACTTTGAACAATGCCAGACAATAGTTGCGTCTTCCTTTACCTCATTCAGCAAACCTGCTGTCACCTGTCAGTGCACTAGGTTGTAAAAAGGGAGCCACAATAAACTCACAAACCTCACTCCCTCTTGTTTCCTCCTTTTGACATCTTTTGGCCACAGCTGCGCGAGTAGAACCCACAAAAGAAAAGGGGGGGCACACAGGAAGGCATGCCTGCAACGCTTTGTCTCACACCCCTTGTCCCTTTTGGGGAAGCCATGCTGGTGGCTCTGACTGCACTCAACATGCTCACAGACTCTCTCTGCGACCAATGTGCATCGATTCACAAATTGGATAGTATGGTATCATACTGGCGCCGTGCAGCAGCATCCCTGTGGGTGCCACTCAAGCGTTTCCCCACTTGCAGGGTGTCGACAGTCATTGAATGCAAAAAGTACAGCATTATCTTTCCACAGGCATAGTTGTTATCCACATGCACATCCACAATGACAACAGCTGAACAGAGCCATGTCTCTCCATCTGAAATCTCACTCTTCATTGCTGTTGTTGTAGCCAGGCACTGGCAGACCGAATGAGTAGCGGCTCTGAGTATATTTGGATGTTGTGTTCCCTGATTCAGTGAATTCCCCTGTGAAGAAGAAGCCGTTTGTGAACAAATCCTGCAAACAAACCACAACGAAGTTGACCTTGATCATCACAACCAATAAGCAAGTACAATATAATTCGCACACACCGCAAGCAAAACAAGAAAACATGAAGGTGATATCAATCGTGATAAGGCCGCAAAGAAGAAACGAAAATGGGCATCACGATGGCAAGCATGAATGTAAGAAGTATCACTCGATTTGCAGGAGACAAGACAAAGTCTAAAGCCACTGCACATTGTGCCACCTTGGACGGCATATCTGTATTCTCTTCAGTTGACACACACTCAATTCCTTCCATCCAGTCACCTTCCCTGCTGCCTGGTTCGGTGGCAAACCAATGGCAGCCACTCCCAGATCTCACCTCGCTCATGATCGCCAGCCCCTCTGCCACGGTTCGAATAGGTTCGCCATAACCTTGCGACTGGTTGGAAGCATTGAACTGGAAAAAGAAGGGCAGGGGCGACTGCGGATTGATGCATATGGGGTTGTCCACATCCGTGTAGTTCAGCTCACAGAAGTTGACAAACTTTGCGTTCTGGAGCATCGTGTTCTCAACCTAACAAGCAGAAAGAGCCCAACCGATGAATGACGAGCCACCATCACTGCAAGGCTCAGACTCAGGCGCCCAGACATGATACGTACACTCCAGAGGAGGACACCGGGCCACAGAGTACAGTGCGATAAGGGATAAGGGGACATCCCTTTTGCAAAATACCAAGCACACAGTACCAGATCAGCACAATACCAGGTGCGCGCTTTCCACTACCCCAAAATCAGCTTGGCCCACCACGACCAGGGCACTGTCAATCATCCTCATCCCCACCTCTTTCATGATCGCAAGGTTCTCCTCAGTAAACATGTTCTGAGGGTCGCCCGTGCCTTTGTATATGAAGCCCAGCTTCAGGAAAAAGTTGTCCTCGCTGCGATTAGACTGTTTGATGAAGCTGCCCAACAGGTCTTCTGCCTCCTGGATGGCCTTGTCTTGCTTTGCGTGTCTGTTCTTCTTCAGCGTCCATTCGTCACCCTCATCGCTCAAGTCCCAAGCGTTGGAGGCGACGGCACCGATCGTGCACAGGATGAGTATGGCGCACACCAGCAGGAAGATCTGGCAGAAAGCAAACAGAATGCAATGGTCCGTTAGAATGGGTGCTGCCTCAATAGCAGGGAGTGAAATGACGTGTTGGCTGCTGAAGTGATGATGCAATACTTTGGAATAAACAACACCTGCCATGTCCAACACTGAAATCCCAGACTGCTGTGGCAAGGCAGCGGTGCATACTGGCTGGAGCTTGTTGGCAGCACTCGCCGGCAGTTTGGGCTGTTCAGTCAGGAATGGCAAAAGAAACACAGCCAATCAGCGCCACAGCGTACTTTTGCTGAAATCGCAGTCCCTTCGCTGAAAATCGTAAGCTCTTTATCAATTAGTGCACCCAGGACCACGTTTTATGGGATTGAAAGCCCCCAGTTTCAGCAGAGAAAGTGCATGACACCTGTCAGTGTCCAACAGGTAAACAGGCCCTGCTATCCAGAACAAGCACCAATGGCTGGGTGTCAGCACTTCCACATCATATGATGAAAACGCAAGCACCAGATGGCTTGAACCCGCAGAGCAGTTGATGCTTTGTGGGACGCCCAGACCATTCTTTTGGATTGCTGCATTTCCTTAGTAGAGGTCCAGCAAAGAGAGGATCAAAAGGCAAACGCACTGCTTTCCACCTTGTGAAGGACAGCCAAATTGTGCCCCTCAAACTATCTGTTTGTCGCGCAGCGATCTCCGTGCTGGAACCAGAATCAGGATGGACATCAAATTATGCGTTGTTGTAGCGAAACAACACCAAGCACACTATCAAACGACTGGACGCTTTGTGCCGAGTTCAGTATCGCATGTGCGATATTCCAGATTCGCTGGCTGGCACTTTAAGTGGTGGTGAATGGACAGAGGCGCAGTGGGAAAACGATGTCAGTATGTTCAATTGGGCCAGGACAAACCACTGCACAGCATTTTGCAGGTGACTGGAGCAGGCTTCGCTTCACTTTGGCCACCATCGTTGGAGGGGACTTCAGGTGCCCTTCATGACCAACCCACATCATTTGCCACTGTGGCCACAAACTGGATTGGGGTTTTGGAAACTTGGCCCACGTTCTGGATGTCTCCGCAGGTGGGGAATTGCCAAAACAGCAAGCCACCATCCTGCGATGTGCGCATATACCGCAGCCAAGCAAGGTTGCCATAGTGTGATTTGCAACAGCTTTGGGGTGAGTACGGCTGCCAAACTGCGATTTGGACCCGCTTTTGACTCAAAACACAGCTGCCATCTACCTTTCATATCCAAATACGGTAGGGGTCCCTATATAGCTCCTCCCCAACAGCGCCCCCGGCCCCAATAGCGTGCCCTTCTTGGCTTGTCACCAATTTCTGTAGTACTTTATGCAGTTTTGTTGCGTAGTGGGACCTGTACCCCCCACATTGGCGGCCAGAGTGCCCCCTATACTGGCAGCTCGGGTACCCCCTACACAGTCGGCCATGGTACCTCCAAAACGGGCAGCTCAGGGTACTCCTTACACCCGCGGCCAGGGTACTCCCCTTAGCACAATAGCGCCCCCGGCCTCCAATAGCGCCCCCCTTGCGGCCATGTCACGGGGAGGCGCCATATAGGGACCCCTACTGTACTTCACCACATTCTAGTGTCAAGGTCCAATTGCAGCCTTGCAGGTGACGGGCCAGCATGATGGATCTCAAATGGACGATTGTCAGCAATTTGACAATGGCCGCAATTTTGTCCGAAACGATCAAACTCCACTCGCCCGTTGACCGCGTTTTCCCGCTCTAGCTCACGTCCTGTTGCAGGGGCGTGCCGCACGTCACTCGCCACCAGGGCCTAATACATAGTACTGCACGTGGTGCGCACCCGGGCCCATCCCTCACTGTGATGTAAAGCCCTCACTGCGATGTTGAGTGATGTCGACGCCTGACTGATCCCATGCAGGTGCATTAGGGGCGGCCAAGCCCCCAGTCCAACTGCAACCGCACACTGGCGCCAGACGCGTCTTATTACACACAACCCTCCGCAGCGGCAGGCAAGGAACACAGCCCTGACGGAAATACATTGGACGGTAGTCACGGCCAGTAGTCAGCCAGAATCCAATCCAAGGTGAGCGGGGGTTGGCGGGGCGGCGGGGCCCAACTGGCGCTCCGGGAGCGGTGGAATCCTCCCGGAAGCGCGGAGGCTCGAGCAAGGCCGACGCGCCCGGAGCCAAGCAGACGGCCTTCCGCGCCTGAGCGAGACGGAAAAGAAGACATATACGGGGCGAAACCAGTTGGGACGTCTCCAATCGGCGAGATGCGCCGAAGGAAAGCCGGGCGACTGGGGAGCCTGGCCGTCGCCGGTCGGGCGCGAGTCGATCCCCAAGGGGACCCGCGCAAGAATTTAGGTGGAAGGGAGCGAGGCGGGGGTCTGATCCCGTCCGACGGTGGGAAGGCTGGCAGATGCGGAAGGGAGGATGGGCGGAGGCGCGGGGCGCTGCAGCGGATCTGCTCCCGCGGCTCGCTGTGCGAAATGCTTCAGCGAGGGCTTTCGACGAGCGTTAATTGGCGGGTGGTGCGCGAGGCGTTGCTCGGACGCCTCGTGTCGGATCCCCAAGCCGTTCGGGAGGAGCAAGGGCACCCCACCACTACCACCCCCGGGGCGTGCATGCTCACGCGCACATTCATCCCCGAGATGTTGCCTGGGCGCCCGCTCCGGGCACGGACGCCACAGACGCCACGGGCGCTATGAAGAAACTGCGTGGCAGGCGGGGACCGGGTGCGCCTACCCGGATGGGTCGCTTGTAGGCCCACCGCGTGTAGCCGGCCAGCCATTTGGACGGGTTGAGCCAGTCGCGCTTCCTCTTCCGACCATTCTCCCCCTCGACTAATATGGCACCCTCGGTGCCCATGGCGCCCAGGGCGCTGTGACCGGGCTTGCGGGCGCGGCCGCGGTGACGTGAAGCCGGAGACGCCGGGCGGGGAGTACCCGTGAGGCTGGACGAGAACGGGTGGAGCGCCGCTGCCCGGGGACCTCTGTTATGGACACCACGCCTCTTACGTGCGCCTTTGCCTCCAGCGCGACGGGGGCGTGCTGCGCATTGGGCGGCGATTATGTCATGGGCCCATAAGTGCGAAACACCCCTTTACTGGCCCACAAATTGGCCGTAAAATACCCAGTGCGCAGTGCATTGCGCCAGTCGCGGTTCCATTATGGCGGTCGGTGCGCCTTGGACCCGAAAACGCAGGAAATGGTGGAGAACATGCAGTTTCAGCGAGTGGCCTGCAGCTTCAACCAGCGGAACAGCCTGCTCCCCCGGTGGTAATAGCCACCGTGGGGTAGCCCCATTCTGCCACTGAGTCCACCACTATGTGTACAATGAAATATTTATCAGGGTTTCCCAGGTGAAAGGCCGATTCTACCACATTCCAAATCAAAAATGTGGTAGAACATTGTAAAACGGCGTTCTTCCCACCACTAAATGTTGTGACGTCCTGGTCAAGTGCCGACGCGTTGGTAGGGGACCAAACGAGTCCTGCGGCGAATTGCTGAGAACTTCAGTGCAGCAACATAAACTGCGGCCGCGAGTGGAGAATGTAGGGTTAATGGCGGAGCTGCCAATAATGACAACGCCATCAAGTACTGCTGATACTGGTGAGGGCCCCCTTCGCTGATGCAGCGGCGACAAGACGATTGCAAGCCTCACTGCTCTGTTGCATTCTTCCTTCTTTGCCGTTTCACAGGGCAGCGGGTGTTGTACATTGCGTCGCATTGCGTTGGAAAGTCTCTGGAGTGCACTTGATGGCATTGCCAGGGGGACGGGGAAGCCAGTGACGAAGTGTATTCGCCACAGAAATTCTGAATCGAACTCGCGGCAGATATGCTGTCGGGGAAAACAACGGATAGTCCCCAATTCAAACAAGAGCCCATGCACAGCCGAAGTGAATGCCTATTTGTTGAGAAATTAGGGCAATTTCGAGCCTCCCCTCAGCCCATCGCTTGGATCGTGGATCGCACTGAGCATCGTGACTCCTGTTCCCGTTGATTTTGCCGCTCGCATAAGTGGCTACTAACTGCTCGAATCATCCAGTACGTGATCTACACGACGTCCGAACACAAGAACCGCACCCTAGTTGCGCTGTCCCAAGGGACAGCTGTGTGGTGGGGTCACAATCCGCAGGCCACGGCTGGTGTCGAGATGGGAAGCCGGTGTTTGTCCTGCGACAGGATGGCTGCCACGCGTCCGTACGGACGGCACGATGCCGCCGCGCTTTGCAGCGCCGTCCACACGTATCGATGGCCGCCAGTTCCCTGCTTGAGGTCCTACTTGCGCGTCCATCTTTACCGCGCGTGGTGCGCTCAACCCAAGGAGTGGTTTCACAAACCTGGCTCGAGACCAAAATGACTGACAGATGGGCGGATTGCAACTGCGGGGTGGGCTTCCACGGTGGCCGACAAGCTGCCCAGAGCCAGCCGTGGGAGCCGAGTCGGATGGCTCGTCAACAATTTCGACCGCCGGCAATGGAGGATCGCAGGCTGAAGTTCAAGCACTGGAAAGCGCCAACGGCAAATGCCGGTTCGGAGGGCGGTAACGCAGAGCAGCTCCGCGCGTGGACGTTAACGTGAAAACGTGGGCTTGCGGAAAGGGCAGTCGTTCGTTGTTTGGTCTCCAGTGTTTGCCCGACAACTGTGGAGCGTTTTCCGTGCTGGACCTTGATACTCACGTTGCCAAAACGTTCACTGCAATCATGTTGGCAGGCCATCCAGTGCATAGTTCACCCTCGATACGGCTGTGGGGTGAAAACTCGGGGAGCAGAGACGGGAGCACTCAGCACAGTCGGTCAGCCTCCTCAAGTCCAGCGTGGGAACAGTTGAAGTTGTGTTAGTGGTTGTCGAACAAGACTTTGAGAGAATGTTCTTAATTGGTGGCGCCGCCTTTCGAGGGTTAGTATTCGCCCCAAATTCTTTTGTTTGGATGCAACTACTGAAAGTTGATGAAGGACACGATCCAGTTCGATGCCGCACGCAGGAGTGGCGTTCGCTTCCCCACTTTCGGGAGGCCAATGGCCGCACCCCTGGCCAGCAGCGCTGCCACCGTGCATTCCCTTGGCATCGGACAAGTCGGGATATGGAATATTGATTGTTTCGTTGATCAATGTGATGCCTAGATACGACGACATTCAATCCTTGATCTGCGATGTACAGAAAAGAGCAGTATGCTGCGCCAAACATTCTGTCCGGCACTTCGAGGAGCCTCCGTGCTGTCACGTACACGTAGGAAGGCAAACAGCGGGAGCTCGAGCTTGCGACAGTGGGGTGTCGGAGTTGATGCAGAGGTGCAAACGAAACAGCGGAATTGGCTGTTAGGTGCAGCGGTCGTATGTTGTTTGGGATTCGGCCACCTCCACTCCCATCGCTCATTATTTGTTTTCCGTATTCCTATATCTTCTTTGCAAAGACATGGCCTTGTGGCCTTGAACGCTCAAGCGCAGGTTTGTCATTTATTCCGTAAACACTGATCTTATTTACGTTTTTATGCATAAAAATAATTTGTACATTTTTACGCGTACAAATAGTTTTTACATTTTTACACGTAAGAATAGTATTACGGACAGTACATACTGCCTTCAGGACTCCGGGGAATGACATCCAGACGCACTGGAATGGGCAGAAAACGAATTTTGTTCCACGCCATCGTGGCCCTTGCCGAGTGGGAAGCGGACGCTGTGTTGCGGGCGCTCAAGGGCGCGGAGTACTGATCACAACGAGCCGTGAAAACGCAAAAACAGCCGTAAAAATAGCCCCTTTTGCAAATTTACGTTTTTACCCTTAAAAACATAAACGTAAACGTAAATAACAAGCCTACTCAAGCGCACCGCTCCACCATTTTCTCAAAAACGCCACCAGACACCGAAAGTTCGCCATCGCCACCCACCACCATTCAGCGCCACCAGTCAACTCATCCTTCCACCCCTTTTCCTCTCCTTCGACCCCACTTCCGCCCACCTTCCCTCCAGCCCCTAGCGTACGGCACCTCCCTCCCGTACGCGGCCCGCTGTCCGTCAGTCACAGCGGCAGCACGCCACACACACACCTGCCGCGGCGCGCCACGGCACCACCCTTTTCACCCTTCACCGTGTCGGCCCCCCCTTGCTTCCCCAGAGTCCCGACGTATCCGCCCCCGTCTCGCTGTAAAGACACGTGTGCTCTGGGCGCCCCTGGTCACAGACAGCGGCCGCTGGAGGCTGGAGCCAAGCAGCAGCCCGCCGCCTGCGCGAAGGCCGTGGTCGCGGCAAATACAGATCGCGGTGAGTGCCCGGCGATGCCGAGCAGTCAATCGGCGGGACCTCCCCGGCGGATGGTCGCGCTTCGAAGAAAAGTGTGTGCGGGGAAGAGCGAGGTGGCTTGCAGGGTTCCCCGCGCCCTATTTTGCGCACTCCACCGCGTTCGGCGCGCTGGGCATCCCCCCGGCCCCTTCTCGGCGCCCCTCCCAGAGCTCAAAAGCCGATTCTTTCTGACCCTTTCGGGCCAATGGCGGGAAAATCGCGCAAGTGCCGGAATGTTGGTCGAGGGGATCGCCTGCGATGCGGAGCTTGGCCCGCTCCGCTGCATCCGACCCCTTTGGCATCCCCCCGGCCCCATCTTTCGTACCTCTCGGTGCCAAGAAGCCGATATTATCTGACCTTTTCGGGCTTTTGTCAGGAAAATCGCGTAAGTGCCGGAAAGTTGGTCGAGAGGATCGCCTGGGATTTGCATCGGGCGGAGGCCCCAGGCGAGCGAGTGCCCCCTAGCGGTTGGCGCGGCGGCGCTGGGCCACGGGGCCGGGCGGGTGTGGGCGGGGAGGCGCGAACCCGGCCTGTGGTGATGTCGGGCACGGACTACTCGCCCTCCGCCAGCGACGACCCCATACTGCGCAGGCCGCCCAAGACGCCGCTGAATCCGGAGGACATCAAGGCGGTGTTCGGATACGCGCGGGACGCGCGCGAGAGGTGGGGTGCCGGGCGCGGGGGGGTGGGAGGGAGTGACTCCCGGTGGAAAAAGGGACGCCGAGGACTTGAATCCAGCGATTTAAGTATTTGTGCGCGTCTGGTGATGAGAGGCGAGCAACTCTGGGGCAGGCGATGTGCGCGCAAGCCTGGCGAGAGGAGAATTTGGAAGTTTCGAGAGTGGGTTTGGGCGATTGGCGGGGCGCTGGCCGTGGTTTGATGACGCGGGTGCCCCCAGCAAGGAAGTTTGGGGAGGCCGGCGGGGCGATGTCGGCCGGATTGTGGCGTGTGCGCGGCCGAGGCGTGTGCCTGGCCGGTGGTCCTGTCCTGGGGCGGGGAGCCGCTCCGCGATGTGCTGGGTACAGAAACCGGTGTACACGTCACGCTCACGGGCTCCCATCGTCAAGCACAGCCCGGGACGGATCGCCCGCAGGCCCCGTCTTGGCTGCAAGCAGTGGAAGGCGCCACCCTTCTCATTCGAGTTTGCTTCTTGCTTCGTTTGAGCCCCATCAAGGCGACAGCCCGCCTGCCGTTGACAAGTGTGCGTTTCCTGGGCACGGCCTTTTCCCCCCACCCATTTGGGTCGATGATTCCCTGCGCACTGCTGTTGTCTTCTTGCTGCAGGTTCCATGTGGGCGATGTTATAGGGGCGGGCAGCTACGGTGTGGTGCGCCGGTGCACAGATAAGGACACTGGCAAGGAATATGCCATCAAGACGCTTCCCAAGAAGCCCAAGAAGGGCCCTCCCACGCCCAGGTGCCTTGCATTGTCCCCTTGCCATTCAACTGCACACAGAAATTCATGTCACAATCCTTTGGTGGACAAAAGAACTCAAAGAATTTCCTTGTTTTGTTGAACACTACTTGGCTCGAGTAATCATTTATTGCATTCTCAAAGATGTGCAGCGAACAAGCACTTCACGTAATCCACGTGCATCGTTGCATCATCACACAAACTCTATTGTTTTTGTTGCTGTTATCAGGTACCTCCTGAAGCTGCGAAATGAGGTGGATGTCATGCGGCAAGTCGGCAACAGTCTCAACGTGGTGCACCTCCAGGTGCGTGTGCAGCCTGACCTCCAGTGTAGTTCACTGGATTGCATTCACAATCATTTTCAAAGCGTGCCCGGGAACTTGTGCTGGATGATGGGAAATGTATGAGGCCAAAATTTATCACCCCAGTCTCCTCCCATGGATACCTGCAGCCTTCAGAATCTTCCAAAGCCTGACCCCAGGGGGCAAAGTGGTAAGAAGAAGTCCTGTCACAGCGTGCACCCACTCTCTGAGAACAAAGAGATGTTGAGACTCTGCTCAACGGTGCAGAATATTATATGGACTTCTTCAATGTCACAGTGAATGCACAGAATACCAGGCAGCATGCACTGCAATAAGGTCCAGCGACAGTGCTTGCCATCCTGCAACCCGTCCCAAGATGCTCACTACCCTGCAGAGAAATTTCAAGAGTGGGCACTCACTACCTGCAAACAAATCTCAGGAGTATTGTGTCAAGAACTGTGCCCGGCAACCCTCATCCAGATTTCATGTCTAGCTTCACCACCAATAACTCCCGGACTTTTGGAGCATTGTTGATAGTGGTCAGCCTTCTCAAGGCGAGCAGTGCTGGTGTTCTTCACTGTGGACGAAAAGATCGATTTCCTCTTTACCTGTTGCCTATTTTGCTTGTGGCGGCAGTGCATAGGAGTGCCACGTTCGGATGCTGGCATATCATGGCTTGGGAGGAAAGCAAGCATGTTCAGGCCCGTGAACATGCTGGGGAGTGTTTATTCTAAGTGCTTGGAGCACGTGTTGTGTTGCATTGGCTGCTGTCTGGCTGCCATTACTCTTGCATCCATTGTTAGTACAGGCTGTCCAAATCCAAAACGTTCAACTGCAGGTTGCTGGTCTGCTGTAACCTATGCAAGACAGCCCTGGAGAACCTTTTCCATGGAGTTTACCTGTCTAGTTGGCCTGTCCCCTGCACCGCCAGATTTACCAAGACTTGATTGTGTTCCCTTTGGGCTGCACATTGTGCATGCTGGCAAAATACGAAAGAAAAATCTGACTAAAGAAAACTGGCCATGGAAAGATTCTTCACAACTCTAAATTTGAAATCGGAAGCTGACTAACACAAAAATCTGGATAACTTGTCAACCGTAGTGCCTTGCAATCCCCAGTTCCGTTGATGCCATTTGCGGCATGCCTGCATCCAGGGTGCTTATGAGGATGACTATGAGATCCATCTTGTCATGGAGCTGTGCACCGGAGGTCCTCTGCTGGATAGACTTCTGTCCACCAACAGGCGTTCTGAGCAGGACATCGCACATGTTGCTCGATCCATCCTGCAGTTCATAGCCCAATGCCATGCCAAGGTGCAGGAAATCCAGAGTGCCATCTGTGCAGTATCGGATCATACACATACAAAGATAGCCGTGATGCACCAAGAGAAGAAGTGCTGAGCACTGTTTAATGTGCTGCATGAATACGAGCAGCGAGAATGACAGCAGCAGAGTAGAAGCATGATCCAGCAGTGGTGTCAATTCACCATCACAATGCAGTAACAATGCGTACATAGCATGTGTCCTGTGCTAGCTGCTCATTGAGGTCTAGAAAAGGGTCTACATTACACCACAAGGACATGAAAATGTGAACGTGCTCTGCAGGAACATACCTGAACAGTAGATTTACTTGCTTGCCATGGCACAGCTTCTTTAAAAGCAGAACAGCACCTAGAGTATTGGATTAGTATCACTGATTTATGTCTTCTGAAAGACAGATGTCCTTTGCTGACTTAATATAGTAATACATTTGTGCTTACCCATATTTGTTGGAAATGGAACTAGGTTTGTCCAAAGCTCAGGACAGCTGGCTTCCACTTGTATGACTTGCAACAATAGCGGGTTGAGACAATGGTCAAGACGAGTAGCTCCACAGCTCTGGCTGGTATCACGTGTTGGAGAAAACCTGTCAGAATGCAGCTGCCAGAAAATGACAAGGCACGGCCCTTGCACCTGCAGGTGATGACAGGGGTAATTTCATCAGCGGTGCTTGTTTAGCGATGTTCGATTCAGCTCAGGCGACCCTAAGCTTGACAGCAGATGTTAGCGCCAAACCTGTTATTCATGACCAAGCCGACTCCACCTACCCCAACACACAAAATATGCAGCCGTTTATTCGCATGGCCACATTCGTATCACGTGCTTCTAACCAGCTGCATTGGAGTGGAGCTCTTTCAGTATCATTCGTACCTATGCCAGCATTCATCAATTCGGCCCTTGTTAGCTTCAAGCCTGCACATGCGATTCATAATCGTCCTTAAACCAGCAAGGCTATAGGGGCTAGCTGATATACCATGAACTCTGTTCAGAGGTGAATATACCAGAGGCAGACAGAGAGCGCGACAAGCCCCCCAGGATGACAGGAAACTTGGCTGCACAGATACAGAAAGCGCCCAAACAGACCTGCCACATGTGGTGGACTCAAATTTGGGCAAATGGAGAATGTGGCAAGACTGGAAGTTGAGTATGAGCAAATTGCGAGAGGCCGCATGCTGTCCATCACTTACAGAGCCTTTTCCCATCAGATGCAACGATGTGAAGAGCATGATTGACCATTGAATTTGATCTGGCGTCTGAGACCACTTCTGGTAGCATGTATATCATACACATCAATGGGGCCCACTGCTTTCCAGCGAATGGCCTCAAAAGGTCTGTTGACCATCAGTATTTGTGCACCATGGCTTTGAAATGCCTGATGGCAGTGGCTTGCTATCTGAACTATGTTATGCTGACAACCTTTGCCTGTCCAGCAGCATTATCCATATGACATCGACTGCAGCAACGCAAACAGCACAGGCGGATCAAGGCCTTCCACTTGGGGGTTAGCACGTGTATTCATCGTGTTTGGGGATGTGCCTGCAGGGGGTAGTATATCGTGATGTCAAGACAGACAACTTCTTGTTTCTCAACAAATCAGAGGCAAGCCCTCTGAAGGCAACTGACTTTGGGTTATCCATTCGCCACTGGCCAAATGAACCACCGATGAAGTCAAGAACAGGTGTGTACATGCCCATATGTTACTCTTTCCCACATCCACTCTGCTGGTGGCCCAGTAGTTGCTGAGGACATTTATGTCCACAACATCCATCTGCCACTGCAAATGAAACCAAACCACTTTGAGGACAACTTGTGCATTCAGTGCATTGGATTGGTAACGTTTCTCCAAGTGCTTTGTTGTCATGCTCAAAGCATGAACTTCGCTCGCGTCCACAAGATGCAGGATGCTGGCTGCACGATGGCATATGTTTATGCGATGCCCATCCGTGTGTGTCTTGGGCTGTTTGGAAGTTGTAGTAGTTGGGAAGGGGAGGCCTGGCGTATGGGCTTGCCCAGTTTGAGGCATTTTGGCCAAGGAGAGGTACAGTTTCTGTTTCTGGCCTTCATGCCAACAGGTTGCAAACCCGATTTGAAATCTGTGGATTCATAGCTTGGATAGGGAGGGCATGTCCACGCCACATCCTGCAGTGAGAGAGGTTGACACAGTAGAATTTAGCTCCTGTTACCCTTTACACTGTTCGGATGTGAAGTTGAATTTTAGTGATCTGAATTGTTTTGTCATATTTGGAGGCTTAAACATGGCTTTATACCTGCAGGTACCCCAGCATACATGGCGCCAGAGCTGATCCTCCAGAACTACACCGAACTAGCCGATGTGTGGTCTGTTGGCATGCTGACCTACCAGCTGCTCACTGGCCATTTTCCGTATTGGAATGACATCACAAAGTGCAGCCTGAAGCAGCTGTGGCATGCTGTCGTGAACCAGGATGTCGATGTCAACCGGCCTGACCTGGTCAGCAGTCTGTCAGAGGGCGCCAGGGACTTTCTTGGGTTGCTTCTGGTCAGGAACCCAGAAAAGAGGCCCTCAGCTTATGAGGTGGGGTGACCACTCTTGTCATTGTGTTTGTCTTCGGCTGGTGGGGAGGCACACACAGTTGATGTGTGGACTTGATTTCACCGTTGCCTTGTTGGCCTGGCAAGAGATCTGTTGACCATTCCCCTGACAGGCATTGTAGGGCCCACAACCATGTGCAATCATCAAACTCCATTCTCTGCCCCAGTTCTGATCACAATTGGAACAAAAATCAGAGCCAACAGCAGAACACACGTTGGCAATGGCTGTGATACCATGCATGAAGTACATTTCATACCATGGGTACCATGACGTTTTGCTGCTGACTTTGCATAACGCTGTCACCACCTGCACCACACGCCATCTTCAAGCCTCTTTTGCCGATGCATGCATTGCCAACCAGACTTTACGAGATGACAAACTTTAGTGCCGCAGCCCCCTGCACAGCACTGTATTCCATTCTTTGGTCATATTCGTTGCTGCATGGGGGGCCATCTGAACCCTCAAGCACCCTGCATATGCCAGGCCCTCAAGCACCCGTGGGTGAGGGAAGGAGGCACCGCCACTGCACTCCCCCTCCAGGGCAGCGTCGTTCAGAGGCTACAACGGTTTGCCACATATGGAGACCTGAAACAGCTGGTGCTGAAGAGGATATCGGAGCTTTGCCACGAATCAAGTGAGAACAGTTGCCCATGAATCGCCTGTGCCAGCAGAGTCTCTTTCTTCCCCCTTGTATTTCGGTTGCACTTCATGGCAGAGCTGTTTGTGTGCAAGTGCTGCTTGGCTTGCCATGCTCCTAGGAGCAAAGGCCTCTTCTTTCATGCATTTCTTTTCTGCAACTCGTTCTAGCGAATTTTGTCAGCAGCAGCATGTTGGCCAATGGATGATTGACAGAAATCCCTTCTCTCAAGTCTAAAATTGTCGCAGTAGTGGATGGGACTGCTTTGGACCACACACCCTTCTCTTTTCCTGGTATCTGCTGTTCATGCTTTCTGTGCTTTGTTTGAACTTCCAAGCTTTCTTTCTTGGCTCATCTGCTGTTTCCTGCATTCCCCCATGCGTGCTGCACTCCAAGTGCTCTTTTGCAGGTTTGCTGCTTTTCGATTGCAACTGTCTTTTATTTTTCACACGATATACTTCAAGAAAACAGCAGTTTTTTTGTCGTTTCCTGCACCTCCTTACACTTTTTTATACTGCATTTGTTACTTGCTGCCTTTTTTGCACGATTCGCGGCAGGCACCATCAGCGAACAGCTCCATGATCTGTTCATTCAGCTGGACGCTGACAGGAGCGGCGGGCTGTCCCATGAGGAGCTCTCCAAAGGCCTCCGAGCTCAGGGCTACAACTTGTCAGATGAAGAAGTCACACAGCTCATGGCTGAGGTCGATGTGGATGGGAATGGCTGCGTTGACTTCAATGAGTTCATGGCAACACTCATAGACTGGAACGAGGTGTGGTGATATGTGCTGGTGCTTGTGCAGTCCAGATGAAAGAAACAGCTGCCTTGTATTGGTGCTCGTCTGGTTCAACTTGCTCTGAAACTGCTTGACCCTGCACTTTTGCAAGCGGCACTGCTTACGTGAATTTCTGGTGAAAAGGCAGTACACAAAACACCCTGTTTTTGTGGAACAATGTCTTGATCAGCACTCTGGTCGTGTCCATCCAAGGACATGACATGATGTTTCATTTGTTGCCCCACTGACTTTGTCATGGCTGCTTTCTCGCAGGTGCAAATGAATCCAGAAGAGTGGGCGCACTACCTGGATCGGATCTTTAGAGAAATGGACAGCGATGGCAATGGTTTCATATCACTTGATGAGATCGCCGAGTACTTGCCCCCCAGCCTGCCAGTCTGTACTGAGGATGGAGAGTTGGGAGGTTTGTCCCTTGGTTCGAGTTCTAGTTCTTACTGCCAGCAATGAGCTCTTTGCAAACACGACGAACAGTGACAGGTCACAAGCCGAAAGTGAAAGCAATGGTGATGAGTGGGGACTTGCTCTCTGGCCTGTCAGATGCCAGCAGGCAGCCATTCAGCCTGTTTATGCTCCAGTTCTAGGGTGATTACAATTCCCTGCCAGTTATTGACAGATTTTTATGAGGCGTTGTACGTAGAATGTTGCTCTGTGTTGCTATATATGTTCCTTGCATGGCAATATTTTTTCATATTGATGTGTAGAGGATGCCAAGTGGAAGCCTTCCTGTTGCACCAATGGAAATAGGGACAATGGCAAGTAGTCCTATTACAAGGCACAAGGAAACAGCAAGGAGGCCTAGGGCATGTTAGCAAAGTATGTCCAGTGAAAATATGTCCAGCCTTGAAACAGCAGGTAAACAGAAACAAGGGAAGGGCAAGTTGATCTGTTGCCCATGAGCCGTTATATCTGCAGCAGTGTGGAACCGTGGCGCGTCTCACAGCTTGGGCTGCCATTACAGTTTGCCTGGAATGTTATTGATGCAATCTGCTGTCCATTGGACGGCAACTATTACGTTCACATTTTTTGAGGTAGAGGGCCTGCTGCCCTGCTATGATGGAGCAGCAAACGATGCAGAGCAGCTGCAAGTTAAAGAGAAGGGGGGCATCGTTCATAGTCACCGATTGTGGTGGAATCAAACCTATGTGCAGTTTTGTACAATTGGGGACCGTATGTGTTACCGCTGTTCTGTTGAAGAGGTGCACTTTTTAACTCACAAGAATACTTTCTATTTGTCTTCTTGATTGGCATGGGAATCAGCAAGGCACTGGATGGCTGAAGGCCAATGCAAGTGTTCGCTGAGTCGTTGTGACTTCGCCTGCCTCCTGCATACCTAAGAGGCGCTCATCTTTTGTCACCCTCGTCCGACCTTGTCATGGGTTTTGCTGACCAGATGATCGCATGACCATTGCGAAACGTATGCTCCGTGAGGCCGACAGGAATGAGGATGGCCTCATCTCGCGGGAGGAGTTCACCGAGCTGATGGTGAAGACGATGGCGCCAGACTGTCTTGAGCAGTACGACAGTCGCGTCATGAAGCCTGCCACGCCAAGACAGAACTCCATGCCTCGACAGGGATCAATGTAATAGGTGGACAGCAGAGAACTGGGCAATTGTGCTGCTGCTTGTTTTGCTAATCTACAGGACCAATGGTACATTTTCCTGCATGGGTGTTAGATGGAGCCGGCATAGTCGCATTGACAGCAACGCTCTGCATGCCGATGTGCGAGTCGATGAGAGCGCTATGAATTCGCTGTTCATTATGCTGCCTTGGGGACTTAGTACAATTAGGAGAGGCTTGTATTGACAGTTGATTCGATCGCAGGCAGAGTGTCCATTCTGGTGTGGCGCTTGTTTGCTGGCCTGCTTTCCTCCCAGTGCGAAGAAGTGTATTTTGATTTGGGCCGTCCTGCTCCTGCTCGATAAATGGGGCATCATGGCTGGACTGGTCAAAGCCTAAGCAGTCCCCCTTGAGGCAAGGTCACCTGCCATCCAGTCAGGACTGCCTTCCTTTGGTGTTGACGGTCGCCATGTTTGTTGGGTGTGCATAGTGCCGGCGTGGTGTCGGGGGAACTCTCAGTGTGTTGCCCCAGCTGGAGCCTACAGTTTCTGCAATGGTGGCGCCGCCTGGCCAGGCATGACGGGCGGCAAGAGCAGCCTGGCGCTGGCAAGGCGAAAAGGAGACTCGTCTTCGACTAATTCGCCCGACGCGTAACACACTACCCCTCATCACCGGCTGTCATCGACTTCACTCAGCATGGAGCTACAGGCCCAGTGGGAGGCGGAGATTCGTTTCGCCGCAGCTGCAGTCCAGAGAGTGTTGGGTGGGGGTCAGTTTCCAGGAGTGTTCGGGTGTAAATAAGGTCTGTGCGACTGTTCCTGGTGGGATCAAGGGCAAGGAAGCCAAGTGGTGGGCAATGATGGATTTCAGAATCAGCGCTGTACATGACAATTTCGTTTGCGGATCTTAGTTTGACAGCAGGTTGGCTTGTGAGCGGGTCGCTGGTCTGCAAATCTCAGATGGCGGCTAAGTGGGACCAAATTGTGTCGGCGCATATTTGGCGAAGCTTTGCCACTGACGTGGAGGGCTGGATTGACCTCAGTGTAGCGGAGAGGTGGCTGGTGCGGTCAGCATGGTGGTTAATGGTGGCTTTCGTGAGAGATGGTGGCCGCACGAATGAGAAACACATGCTGTGAGGCAGTCTGAATGCGCTCAGCTCCCCATTTTCGTTGAATTGTAATTCTGTAACTATTGAACATGAATCGAAATGTGATTTATCGGATTATCAGTGTGTGCGTGAGAGCAGATCGTTGTCGCTCTCCAGCTGCGAGGCTTCAATTGCGATAGCTGCATTTGTGCATTTCAAGCAAACGAGATTGCCAAGTTCCCTGCCGATACACATGTTGCCTGTGCACTGTTGACATGCTTTAAATTGTCATCGACGGTTCGGTGATTTGGGGTCCAAAATGGCATGGAGCCGTCAACTTATCCCGTATTGTAAGCGACGGCATATGTCCTTCTTTCTGGTTTTCACGCAGGTCCTGGTTGTGCCTGATGTTGCATGAGCTCCGTGCGACACTCGACACGTTGTCAAGAGATGAATGGCCAGGAGGCTGCAGCTAACGCCGTAAGATGGGATATCTCGAGTTGATGGCGCTGCCGTATGTGTAGGGCACGTCGCTGTGCGCCTGTCGCAAGCGACAGAAACTCGCTGAACGTCTGCGCAACCAAGCCAACGCAAAAAAAATGAGGTCCCGATCACCAGTAGAAAAGAGCCTGTTTGTGATGCAAATTTGTGATGCCATTTGACACAAATTGATGCCATCACAGCCGCTTTTATGCCATCGCACTCACTGTCACGGCATCAATTTGTGTCAAAATGGCATCCCAGCTGGCATCGCAAACATGACGTTTTCTACCAGTGGATGCAGAAGTCCACAAACTACCACGGCAGCACACTCGCTCAACACTCGCTCAACATCTTGCGGCTGCATGGCGTGCGTGTGCAAAGTCTAATGCTGGCCAACAAACGAGCACTGCGGTGTGTGGAGGGGAGGCGAGGGCCCGTGGCGTGCGACGCCCAAACAGCATATCCTTTTCACTCGTGAACATATCAGTGAGTGGAATAAAATCCCCCCGTTGGCAAGGAATATTCCGCGACAACCAACGCCAGCGACATTTGACCGGGCTTGATCTGGAGGCACGAATGTCAGATGTGGCGCCAGCCCAAAACGGGCTACAGTCAGTTCGTGGCTCGCAAGCATGCGACCCAACGAAGCTCGGGCTCTTAGATGGCTCTTCAAAGGACATCCGTGCTCCGAACGCTTGGGCAATTTTCCTCGCATTGAAGCCCGCATAATAAGTGGCGCAAGATATCACTAGAGAATATTGAACAATTTGTCACATTTTCTTGAAACAGGGATCGCTGCGATGAAGGTTCAAGGGTCAACTCGCGGTGTTTGAAGTTGGCCCCGCTGGCAAACGTCATGCCCGTGTGGGATTTTGCAGCAGTTGAATCAGCAGTGCCGCGGCCATATGCGCCGTGTTGGAGCGGACGCCGCGCACAACGCCATGCCTGATGGATACAAACTGATGACCGGCGATGTCTCGCGGTCACTTGTAAAGATGCATCGCATGGCTGGTCTTCGCCTGGCGTACTGAAAGCGTCGTGGAGTCCGCCGCCAAGTGGAGTCAACATCCCATGTTGGGCGCATCATCGGAACTCTTAATGATCTCTTGGTGGTTGCATTGATTGCCGTTGCCCCTGTCTCTACGTTTGCATCCAGCGTTGCCCCTGCCCTCCTCACCAAGGGCATGTTGTCTTGCCATTTCGCCCCAATCTCTGCAAGTGCCGGCACAGTGTAGGAACAGCGCACTGCGTGTCTTGGATGAAGTGTATGTGGACGCCCGTAGACACCGCATACCGTATTTATTCGACCCTACTGCTAGTGACTAACGCTTGGCCTTCTTCTGCGGAGCAACGATTCGGAGCAACGGAAAAAATAACGCTCTGGAAGACAGGCGAAGCAAAAACTGGTGAAATGTTCATTGGTTGAATTTTTTGATGCGGAAGTGTTGAGTATTGTACTGTAAACCGCGCAGTGCGCATGCCACACGCACAGCGCAGCTTGGGGGTACCTCGTCCCGTGCGTGTTGGGTGCAACATCTGCGCTGTATGAAAACATTCCCCCCAAGCACCGCGCCCTCCTGCCAATATGTGCTCCCGGTGTTGGCACCCCCGCGACCACAGGCTGCTGTACATCAGGAAATCCGACGCGCAGTAGGTGCAGCGGGATTTGGATACATACATGTACAGGCTGAGGCCTTTTGGCTTTGCAGTTTCCTCGTCGCTTTGCGCTGCAGTGTGCCGAAAAAAGCTATTCACGAATGTGTCAATTGGATTCACATCCAATCGACGTGTTATCACTGCATGTTGCCGCTGTCGCCTGTGGATCGCGAAAGCGCACTTTTCACTAGTATGGTGGTATGTGTGGTATGGGTGGCATAGGTGTAGGCACACCCATATTAGTGCATTAATACAGGCCATTTGGAGCTGTCTGGCACACGCGCTTGCGCCATGTGTGCCTGATGTTGACCAAACCGTGCATGATTACCGCCCTGTCAGCATCTCATAATCCCAGCACGCCTCATTTACGTGCAAAAGAATCGAAAACAGCAATCCTTTGGCAATGAAGCAACAGAGCTGGTATTGGCCAACGGATCCTCTTCAATCTTTACTCCATCGCGAGCAGGCGAAATTCGTCCTGCGTCCTTAGTGAGAATAGCTTCATTCCTTGACCTTGAATTCTGCCCGTGTACACCGGCAGCACATTTGCTGTCGGTGTCTGCCTTTGGAATCCAGTATGTAGTGTATCTCACTTCAGATAGATCTCAGATGCACCCAACAGATGCATTTTGCATTCGGTATAGCTGAAGAGCGTGTGCCAGCTATGGGCATTCTTGCTCAACGCTTTCTCCAAAAAAGGTGGCGAGACAATGAGTCAGCTTTTTTGGGCAACGCTTTATCTCCAAAAGGTGGTGACACAATGAGTCAACTGTTCCCCTGCAGCCATGAAATCCCCAAAACTCAAATGGCCTGGACTTATGGAGCGGGAAGAATTCAGTGTGAGCGTTCTTCCCCGCGCCATGAGCTCCCGCCGTTTGGGTTTTGGATTGATGACCGCAGGGGAACAGATGCGCTGTACCAACAGATACATTCCGTATGCTGTATGGAGGGAGAGCGTGTGCCAGATACTGTTTGTATCCCGTGACTGGCACTTTAGGGATAGGGATTTGCGCTGAGATTATTGACTGTGTGATGTGTATGTCGACGAGGAAGTGCAAATTCGCGCAGGTAGGTTTGCTGCAATGGGTTTGCATGGAATCTTCGATACTCTGGCGTACTTGTAGGCAGTACAACTTCATGGTGGGTGCCAATGCCAACAAGGTGCAGAGCTGAGGCGTCATCTTGGTGAGGGCAGTGCGCGGGTGTGTTGTTTCACGGTGCATCCTCATGATACGTCGCTCTCAAGTTGCCGTCTCCTGCTATGCCAGAAACCGGCTATCTGGGGCGGCTCATGTCCACATTGACCATAAGATCATGGGACAGTGATTAAAGTGCAAAACCACAGTGCGAATGTAAGGTGAGATGGCTAGACGTCCTGGCTTATTGCTTGGAGAGCGACCACAGCCACGGCAATTGCCGCTTCGGATGCTCAGTTCAAGTGAACTTTTTCCGCATTTGTGCCCAAGTAAAATGAAGCACACTTGAATATAAGCAAGGATCGCAACATTCGTTGTGTTTTGCAAAAAATGTTCAATCATGCACTGTGCAGCTGCCAAGCTCGCAGGCGGAACTGATCATACCATGTATTGAGGTCGAGGCTTCGCTGCTGCGCCGTCTTTGGATTGCTTTCACCGGCCGTCAGTGGCTTCTGGACTTGGTAAAATTACGCGGCCATTGTCTCCTGTTGGAGGCAGCCTGGTTCCCGTTAGCTCTACCTTGGGTGCCGCTGCCATGCCTTCGGTTGACGGTGCCTTGCCTTGCCGTCTATTCTTGCCTGGGGCACCAAAGTTCTTGGTCAAA